GGTATTTGAATGGCGGAAGAACTGAACGCCAAGCCGGCAGCAAAAAATATCTAGATCATAATCTTGAATTAACGAAAAAAAAATGACGATAATAAATCTAATAAATTAACTTATAAGGTAGATTTTTTTGTCAGGTAAACGACAATCAGCCGAACACACACACACACAAACAATCTCCTTTAGTAGTAATATCATAATGATGATGATGATAATGATAATACCATTGTTTATATGGTGATTTTTCAGAGAAAGATCAAAACAATTAAAATAAACCACATTTATCGATTTTGATGAATTAATTATTAATTGATCGATCGATTGATTGATTCAATCGATCCAATGTGTATTTTCAACGATAAATAAATAAAAATGGCGAAAATGACGAATGACAGAACGAATGGCAAACATCAACTGATGGTTTGGTGGTGGTGGCTTGAGGATCGGATGATGATGACGATGAACATTTTGGACATTCGAAAAACAGAAAAACAGACGATCAAATCAATGTTGGCGGCCAGCCATTCTCTTTTGTTGTAGAAATTTTCTTCTTCATCATCTTCTGCTGCTTTTCGTTTCATATAACCTGTGTTTTTATAAAAATGAATTGAACAAACAAGCAAGCCAAAAAAACTCGACAAACAGGTGAGTGAACCGTTTTTTTGGGGGAAAGAAAAAAAGTTTGAAGTGAAAAACACTTTAGTGTAACAAAAAAAAAACGAACCTGGTTTGTTGTTGTTGTTGTTTTTATCCAGTTAGTTATTCATGACAGGTTACATCGATTTGGTAAATATATCAAGTAGCATTTCATATATGGACAAAGGTGATGGATGCCATTGCAATGGTCAGGTCAATGAGATCACGATCAATATCGATCACACATAGAGAAAGAGAAAAGTATACTGGTTTTTCTTTCTGGTGCAACAAGGAATTTACCCAAAAAAAAAATTGTATCCATCGTTATCCGAAGATAACGGTAAAAAAAATGGTTGTTTACGTAAAATCATCCATGATGATGATGATGATGATAAAAGTGAAGCGTGAAAAAAAAATGTTCGAAACAAACATCGATAGTATCGATAGTATGAATTTCCTGTTTTTGTTCAACTCAAAATATTCAAAACATTCCAATGTCGATTTGGTTGTTTATTTTTTTCATTTCGGGGAAAAAAATATGTTTTTGGTTGTAAATCTTTAAGATATGGTCATCATCATCATCTGTTACGATTCATCAGGTTTTGAAAATTGAAAAACAAACTCGATTCAACACCAAATTAAAAATTTAATTAAAAAAATTTTAATGAAAAACGATGGTGGTTATGATTATGGTTATCTAAGGAAGTGTTTTTCATTCACCATCGTTCATTCATTTATTCATCATCAAAAGAAAAATCCATTTTGGAGAAATTTGTCATCATCATTTTTTTCCAAACAAAAATCAAACATTTGAAAGACAAACATTGTTTGTATCAAAACCGCGGTTATGAAACAAACAAAAAAATAACTGTAACCATTGATCTTTCGAATCACTGTCTATTTCGACAATAAGTATGTTAACTTGGGTGGAAACAAGATTATTTCGAACACAAATGAATGGACAGACAACTTCGAACATTTGCTTGTTTTTCCTGTTCGCGCGGTGATGATCATGGGTGAAAATGAAAATTATCGTTATTATCATTGAATTCAATTCAAATCAAACATCATCGATTTTCATCGTTGTCCAAATAAAATATATCTGTGTGTTGGACATTGACAAGGATCCAAGGTTAATAATCATCTTAAAGCCGAATATTTTTTTCAACAATATTCAAAATGTAAGGTTTGAATTTTCAATTTTCAATTTTCCAAACACAATCAAGGTAAAATCTAATGATAATAATCGTATTTAAAATCATCACCAATCAATCAATCAACCAATCAATCAAAAGATTGTAACCATTTAATCATCAAAAACATTGATTTCAAAATAATAATAATTATTATTATCGACAAATAATAATTATCCACGTAAATACAGGTGAATTATTGTTGTTTGTAATGTCAATTGTCAATGATTATCGATTGATTTTTTTTTCTTGTTTTTCGTTTAGGTTACCTGTTCATCATAATAAATCCGGTTTGCATCCAAACAACAACAACAACAACAACATCTACTAAACATTAACAATCAGAGGACAAAGAAAGGACAAATTTTTCCAATCGAATCAACAAAAAAAAAATTCAAATTCAAATTCAATGTAGCTGTTTTTTGCTGATCGATCATTTTTCGAATGTTTTATGATGATGACAGCCTGTTTTCTGTTGGTAAGCATACCTGGCTGGTTTTTTTTACATTTTTCAAATTCACCTTTTCTGTCTCTAATTTTATCTATCTTTCCCTCTTTCCAAAATACATACATCTAGTCAATCATGATAAATAATGTCTGTCATCATCCCAAAAAAAAAAAAAAAAAAATCAAATGAAATGAAATGGCTGGCTGTTTTCTGTTTGTCATCATCATCATCATCATCATCATCGAAAAAAAAGATGATAATTTTTTTGTCGACTGGAAAAAAAGAAGGGCAAAACGAAAAAAAAAATGAAATGAAATTTTTCATCAAAAAAAACAACTATAATTTCGATGATGATAAATTTATCTGTCAAACTGAGAAAAAAAAAATGAAAAAGGATTGATCAAGATTAATGATTGGCAAAAACAAAAAAACAAAAAAATTAATTGATTTTCAGGTGCATCCAGAAAAATTATTGCTGGCAATCGTATTGAATAATTTTCCAAAAAAAAAAGAAAAAAGATAAAATTTTCATTTGATGATCATAATTGTCAAGTGTGTGTGTGTGTGTGTAACATTTATGTTAATTTCACAATCAATGAATGATGATGGCAACAAGTTGATATAATCAAATAAAGATGGATGGATGGATGGACAATGACAAGCCGAAAAAATCCTTCGATGTTGTTGATGATGACACTTTCATTTTTTTCCAGGAAGATTTTTTTTTTGTTGAAAAAATTGAATCCATTTTCAATGATATATAAAAATGTCATCAGATATGATGCATAATCAGGTGGCATTTTTTTTCGCATCATCATTCATTCATTATCATTTAACTTGAACGAATTGACCACACTGGAAATGACAATGATCGAAAATAGCAACAGCAAGAACAAGAAAAAGGTGAAAACCCGATTAAAATTGTCTACTATTTCGATATATAATAATGTACATTGTCATTGAAAATCGATTATTGTGTCAGGAAGTGTTCTTTTCTTCATTGTATCGAATGAACATCAAGCTAAATTTGGAAGACAAAACGAATGAAGGTTATGTTACTCTCACACAGAAAAAAAATTGTTTAATCAATTGATTCAGATCAATCATTGAATCATGTCAATTCAAAACAAACAAATAATGACAATGACAATGGCAAACTTTTAACATTTCAATACAAAAGATTATCAAATTCCTTATTGATTCGATGATTGACTATGATGATGATGATGGAGAACAAACAAACGAAAAACGTTAAGTAATCACCATTATTATTTATTTGTTTGATTTTGATTTTGATTCAAACGTGATCCGATTTATTATTATGACATTCATGAAAATGATAAAGATATATTTTAAGTATGAAAAAAACTGCCCACTGAAAACAAAAATTGGAAACTGTGTGTTTATTAAGGTCAGTTTTATTTTGTGCATTTGTAATTAAGAAAAGAAAGGAAAAACTATGTAAGTTGGGTAAAAATGGTGCGTTTTTCGTTTGTTCTGATTATTGAATTTTCATTAATTTTTGTTTTTTTTTCTTTCATTTCTGCATTCAGATTTGCAAAAATTCAAATTAAATTTGTTTAAAAATCTTGGATTTCGAGTGGTGGCCAGTTCAAATCAAGATAAATATGTCAAGATAGATGATCAAAACAATCGTCGAGAGAAAAAAAAGTCGTGCACGATACACGTTTTTTAATGAAATATAATGATGTGTGATGATTTAGTTGCCATTGATTGCTGTTCAAAAAAGAAACAATACAGGAGCGCAACCACAACTGATTATCGATTCGAATCAAAAAAAAATCATTCGTTGATTATCCGTGGGATTATTGTAACGAAGCAAAAAAAAAATTCAAGGCAAATTGCGTGTGTATGTGTGTGATACGATCAAAAAATTTGATCCAAAAACAACAACAATTTTGGTCATATTTAAGAACATTGTTCAATCGATATGTGTAATTGCTCGACAATGACATAAATCGATTGAAAACATGACATCCAACATAATCCATTATTGGAGTAATCATTGTTCATTTAAGTTTATTGCCCTTTTTTGGAATTTTTTTGCCTATTTCGAATTCGATCATTCGATTCGTATTTCGGTTGATTGATTCTTGATTTTATTGGTTTCTATATGAACGAATTTAATGATCGTTTTTAACTCATCAAAAATCAAGTGACAACTTGATGACAGGATTTATTTTGAAGGTTAACTATACATCAAAGATAACGATATTCTGTCATCAAAAAAAAAGATGATGATTGATGCCAACAATATGACAAAATTTACACATTTGAAAATTGCCCCTTAATTTCAAAGATGATGATGGTGATAACCTGAAATAACTTTTTAGAAAAAATTCCAGAAATTCAACACAATAATCGAAATGGTAATGTTCGAATTAAAAAAAATTCGAACATTATAACTCGATTTTTACGAAAAAGTTTATATAAAAATTCATCAGTATGGTTTGAATGTTGGATTGATTTTGCGATTAACTTTTATTTTTATTTATTTTTCCTGTTTGTTTCAAAAACTTTTTTTTTTCTTCAAATTATTCATTCATTCAATTCATCCATTACAAAAACAACCATTTTAAAAAATGACCGACAATCAAGTAAATATTATCGATAATAATAATGATGATTCAAATGAAAATTTATCAACAACAACCACAACAACAACAATAATGGATGATAATAATAATATAGATTTTATTAATAAAATGAAACGTAAAGTACAAAAAGATGAAAAAAATCGCCGTAAAAAGATTTGTTCACAAGAAATTGATGATGATAATAATAATATTAAAACAATATCAACATTAAATAATTCATATGAATTAACACGGAATCAACGATTATGGTTAATGAAAATGAATAATGAATTTATTGATACAATTATACAAACATCGGATGGTTGTCATGAAGAAAATGTTCATCTTTGTTCACTGTTGATGATGAATGAAAATATTTTGAATGCATTAAAATATTCAAAAAATCGTACAGATATGATTAAAGAATTTGTTATTGATTCTTCAGTTTCAGCTGATGTTCTTCGGCAAATCATTTATTTTGCATATCATATGAATGCATCGTTAAATGAAATAAATTCCATTGAAACAGCTGAATTTGCAGCAAAATATCATATTGATTCATTAGTTGATTATTGTCTTCGTTATTTTCAAGATAATTGTACAATACGTAATGTTTTGAAAGGTTTTAAAATTTCCATTCAAATTGGATCAAATTATCGATCATTTTTTCAATCATTTATTGAGAATAATTTTCAGAAAATTTTCAACAGTAAATCCAAACAAGATCTGTTGACAATTAATGATTGTTCAATATTGGAAATTATAGGTTCACAACGTTTAGATTCAAGAAATGAAGAACAAATATGGCAAATAATTTATGATTGGATTGATTATGATATTCCGGGTCGTTTGAAATACGTTGAACATGCCTTGACTAATGTTTTACGTTTCGGACGATTAAAAGATGAATTTTTAAAAACAAAAATTTTCGGTTGTAATCTTTTTCAACAATTGGAACCCAATTTACAAACACGATTGATTAAATGGATCGATGATTTGAATAATCAAACAGTTGTTATACGAGGTTTGTTGTGTTGTTTTGATTGATAAAATTGGTCAATTTTTTTTCGTTGATTTAATTCAATCATTTTTTACCCAATTTTAGATGGTTATGGTTTAAAATATTGTAAACATTCACTGTATTATCAACCAAGAGAAACAAAAGAATTATTACTGGTTGGTGGTGGTTGGGTTGAAGGATCAACAACAAATTCATTAGAATTATATGATTATCAAACAAATCTTTGGTTAAGATGTCCATTAATATTGAAAGATAAAATATCATATTTTGGTTTAGAAATGATTAATGATATTGTATACGTGTTTGGTGGATCTAACGGTACGGATGTATTTCAATATTTACATGCATTTAATTTGAATGAACCACAACGACAATGGACAAGTAAATGTTCAATGATTGAACGTCGTTGTTATGTATCGAGTGCTAATCTAAATGGACAATTATATGCAATTGGTGGTTTTAATCGTCAAACACGTGTACGAAGTTGTGAACGTTATAATCCTGAATCGGATAGTTGGCAATATGTTGCCGAATTAAATTATGGCCGATCAGATGCATCGGCTATTGTTCATGATGGAAAAATTTTTATTGCTGGTGGTATTAATGATTCTGGTATTGAAAGTTCAGCTGAAATTTATTATCCACAGCTAAATCAATGGCGTTTAATACGGTCAATGTCATCACCACGTACAAGTTTTTCAATTGTTTCATTTCAGAATAAAATCTGGGCATTAGGTGGTAATGATGGTTCGAAAAGGTAATTTATTTGATTTTATTTGATTGATTTGATTTATTGATAACATCACTTGATAATTATTCTAGATCTGGATCAGTGGAATGTTATGATCCAGAATTAAATGTATGGAATGAAGCGGAAAATATGTTAATCAAAAGAAGTACATTCAGTGCAATCATATTAAAAGATGAACTTTATGTTGTCGGTGGTTATAATGGTCAATCGCCTATTTGTGATGTTGAAAAATATGTACCGAATATTGGATGGGTAAAAGTAAAACCATTACGACATGATCGTAGTGGTCTTAATCTTTTATGCATACCGAATAAATATGATTTTTTGAAAATTTAATTTTTTTTTCTTCTAATTTTTGAAAAAATAAAATTTTTTTCCTGTTCGAATAAGTATCATTTTTTTTTGTTGACAAAAGATGGCACCATCAATGAATTCTAAAATTCTTTCGTGACATGCTCAATTCGAATACATTAAATTCGGCAAATTTTTTTTTTAGTTTTTTGAACAAAAAAAAAATCAAAATTTGAATTAAATTAATGAATCAAAATCTTTCAATCCAAAAAAATGTTGGCTATGTTTATTCACGTGAACTTTTATCGTTATCAAATCGATTACCACCAGTTAAAGGAAGGGTAAGATTGTCATTTTGATTGATATTTTTTTTTTTGGAGGGAATTTCTAATTGAAAATTTGAAATATAAATTCTGATAATGATTATTATTACAGGCTATTCTAGTACATCAATTAATTGCTGCCTATAATCTACTCGATCATTGTTATCGTATCGAAGTGGATAAACCTTTACAGGAAAATCAATTACGAAAATTTCATTCAATCGAATTTTTGGATTATGTTCGAAAAATTTCGGCCAACAATTCGGATGAATTGAATGATGATGATGATGAAAATGATTTCGGTATAAATTATGATTGTCCACCATTCGCTGATCTTTTCAAAACGATTGGATATTTAGCCGCATCAAGTATAGCAGCTGCTAATGCCATCATAACCAAACAATTTTCAATCGTTTTGAATTGGTTTGGTGGTTGGCATCATGGACATCGTGATGAAGCTTCAGGATTTTGTTACACAAATGATATTGTATTTGCTATACTGACATTTTTGGAAAATGGATTCGATAAAATATTATATATCGATTTAGATTTACATCATGGTAATGGTGTTGAACATGCATTTGCTCATACGGACAAAGTTTTTTGTTTATCATTTCATAAATATGAATTTGGTTTTTTTCCCGATACTGGAAATATCGATGATATTGGTTCATTTCGTGGTAAATATCATTCGATAAATATGACACTTCGTAACGGTATCAATGATGATCAATATATTGAGATATTTGATAAGATAATCAACAAATTGATACCTAAATATAAACCTCAAGTTATTATCTGTCAATGTGGTGCTGATGGTCTAAGCGGTGATCGAATGAAATCATTCAATCTTACATCACGATCATATTTACATTGTATCGAAAAATTATTATCAATCAATTTACCATTAATAATATTAGGTGGTGGTGGATATAACTATACAAATACGGCAAAATTATGGACATTAATAACGGCCAAAGTTTTGAATCAACAATTAGATTCAAATATACCGGATCATAATTTTTTTCTTTATTATGGTCCTGATTATGACCTTTCAATAACCGAATCAATGCTGCCAAATGAAAATGATCCAAAAGAATATGAAGAAAAATTGAAAATTATCTTCAAAAATATTGAAAAAATTCCGTAACGTCATTTATGTGTTTGTCATTGTTGTTGTTGTTTTGTCAAATTGAATCGAAGCAACAACAAAAAAAAATTTGTTTTGATTGTATCCGAATTTTGAGCTCTTTTTCTTTATGAAGATATAAATCTGACATAATAATAATGAAGATGATGATTGTTGTCAACAACAACAACAAATTAAGTGTATCAAAACAAATTTAAATTACTTTCTTTATGATTGGATAAAACATCATCGATTTAAACAAAGAACAAAAAATGTACGACGTATTTCCAAACGAGAATTTGGCTGGCATATTGTCATCATCTTTATTTGCATTATTGGTGAGTTTTTTCTTTGAAAAAATTGAAACTTGTTATTATCAATGAAAATAATTTGAAAATGTTTTTAGTTCATTATAATATTTTCAATATATTATGTAAGAAAATATTCAAATCTTGAAGATTCAATACGAACAACAAATATTACAGCTATTATTTCATTGATTATTGCATTATTAACATGTTCATTATTACCTGTCGATATATTTATTGTATCATCGATGAAATATTCGAATGGAACATTCAAAGAATGGGCATCGAATATAACCGAACGGCAACATTTTTCTAACCAAATTCTTTACACATATTATTGTAAGTAATTTTTTTTTAAGAAAACAAAATAGTTTTTTGATTTTCTTTTTTCTTTTTTTCCCACAAATTAATTAGCCCTTTATTCACTCATTTTTATGTTCATCTTTCTGGTCATACCGTTTGTTTATTTTTATTTTGAAGAACGTGAAAGTTCAATATTTGATACGAATCCATTGTTGACATCTCTTCGAAATACATTCATATTTGTTTTATTGGCTGCATTTTTTCTACTAATTGGGTATGTGTGAGATTATTGAAAATGGGATATTGAATTTGTTTCATTCATTCATTCATTTTTTTCAATAATAGAGCATTCGTTCCATTAAGACCGACACCTGATCCAAACAACAATGGATCATGGATCGATAAATTCAAAAATATAATCAACGTTTTGGAAAAAAATCGTGGTGAAGATGCCATGTCTATGGTATTGTCAATTTTATCGGCATTCGGTGTTACTATTGTTGCCATTTATACAGCATTCGGAATGTTTTCCTGGCCTGTTAGTCTGATAAAAGGAACAAAAAGTGCACGAACACAATTACAAGATATTGAAGATCGTCATCTAAATAATTCATTCAATATAAATAGTTTACGAGAAAAATTACGAACCACCGGGCAATTAACCGATCGAGAAATGAATCGATTACGCATTTTAGAAGAACAAGAACGAATGACTAATCTTGAAGAATCATTTGTAAATGAATATCGTGAAAGTTATTTTTATCGTTTACGATTTCTATTTCGACCAATTCAAATGACTATCGGTTCAATTATTCTGTTGATTTCGATTTTAGTTTGGATTTCATTATTAATAACCAAGTAAGATTTTTTGCTTTAAAAATTTTAAATTTTTGTATTAATGTAAAAAATTTATTTTAGCATTGATAAAGCTTTTCATTCGTTGGGTATGCATATGGGTTATGCATTGGTCAATTCAACTTATCCAAATCCAATCAATTTCATTCTGTCTGAATTGCAAACTGTTTATCCATTGGATTATATCTTGATTTTAAGTCTAAGTTTTTCATTAGTTATGTACACTATATCAGGTTTTAAACATATTGGAATTAGATTTTTATGTATCAAGGTAAATTTTATTTAGAAAATTTGATTAATTAATCAATAATTTTTTTAATTATTTGAAAAAAAAGTTATACAAAATTAAACCTGGCAAAACAGCACCACAAGGTATTTTGTTATTGTTCGCATCGATTATGTTGGCAATACTTGGCATCAATGTTCTTTTCTATTCAGCGTTTCCACAATACGCTACATATGGTCGACAATTCTATCAAGAACAAACAAGCAATAATACCTACACCGCTAAAATATGCAATCTTGATTCACCAAAAGGTTTGTTCAAAACAAAAAAAAAAATTCAAAGTACGACATTGTCTAATTCTCTTTTTTTAATAATTTTAGATTCATGTACGATGACAAGAATGAGTGCATTGTTATTAAGATTCTTTTATAAAGCTTGGTTTTTCGGTGCTTATTATTATTGGATGATGTGGACATTTTTAATCGTTTCACTTTGTTCATTCGTTTATGTTTCATTACGGCCAAAACAAACAGTTACGCAAGGATTATTAGAATCGGAATTTGAAAATGAAAATTATTAATTAAATTTTTGTTATCAAAATTAACTATAAAAAAAATTTGCTATAATTATGAGACAATTTTGAAATAATAATGATGATTATCACTTTTGGACACCAAGATGCCGGCTTCATTGTCATTTAATTAATTATTTTTTTCATTATGGACCCAGTGCCGCCATCTAGACTTCGGTAAAAAATAATTTATCAAAATCAATAAAAAAAATTAATTAAAATTTTACGGATTATATTCCGGATTTATAAATATTTTAAAATACGCAGTAGTTGGAATAAAGGTTTTTTTATTCCTGTGTTAAACACAAATGAGAACGGAAAAAAAGTTGAATTTAAAAAAAAACAATGAAATCTTGTATATTGCTTGATTGAATAGCTAGTTAGTTAATAATGAATGATGATGATAGAAAATCTTTAGGTAGGTTGACATTCTTAATCCGCTATACAGCATCAAATAATGTCGCATATTGTTTCTATATATATAGAGAGAGGGAGAGAGAGAATTCATTTTGTTTCTCTATTTTGGTTAATAAAAACAATATTATTAGCTTACGGTTTGGAACAAGCGTCACAAAAATAATTCTGGATTCTGGATAACAAGAAAAAGAAGTAGTAGTAACCAAAAACAGTATTATTTTCGCTCTCACGCATATACCCCCACCAAAAAAAAAACCAAACACAGCGAGTCGAAGAAGAGTTTTTCCGGTCCAAAATGTCAGCACAATTTGTTGTTTATGAATGAAGTATATTATTTTCTCAGGGGATTTTTGTTTTGATTCTCTCTCTCTCTCTCTTTTTAATCATTTGAGTATTTCATTATATAATCATTTAATTAAAAATCATATTTTGTTAACTGGGATCATCTGGTATGGCGATGAATGAATCCGATAAGGTTTTTATCCTTCTCACTTTACAATCATCATCATCATTTGTTAATTTGTTTTTTTTTATTATTCTGTTTTTTTACAGACAAAAATTATGAATGAGAAAGACGACGGTGACAATGAAAAAACTGAAATTATTAATGGTGGTGATGGTGATGATGATGATGAAGAAAAAATAAAAACAGGATATTTTGGTATTCGATCTTATTTACATCATTTTTATGAAAATGTTTCCGATGAACAAATGACAACAGAATTGTAAGATGATTGATTTTTTTTCACTGAGTTTTTGATTTAAAATCTTATGATTCAATTTCCAAAAAAATAATATAGCAAAAATAAACGAAATAAACGTTCAAAATTATGGATTACTGTTTTTATAACAGGAATGATTTTAATGTCAATTGGTGTAACAATGATTTTAATTGGTTTTACAATCAATCGTATGCAAATCGATATTGGTTATCAAGAAGAAATGCGTATTATTGATAAATCAGCATATGAATTTAATCAACATTTAGATCAAATTAAAATAATTGGTCTTATTTGTTTTGCATTCGGTGGTTTATTTGTTGCTTCATCATTATTATTGCCAAGTTTATTGCCGAATAAATCGAATGGCATTGATGATGATGATGATGATGATGTGGATGAATCTACTCATCTTAAATTTAATATCGATCCCGATGATGATGATGATGATGAACATCGAACACGAGTAAAAAATCTAATTCCAGTTACTGAACAATTAAAAAGCGTCCAACCAAAACAAACCGAAAAAACAACATCCGTTATAACTAATTCTGGTCTTAAACAAATTGTTTTGGATTAAATGAAATGAAATGAAAATATCATTTTTTTAAAATTGTTATTGTTATTACAATCATTAAACAAATAATTTTCGATTTGTTGATGTTTTTGTTTTGTGTTGAAATATGTTTTTTTTTCTCACTATAATTGAAATGCTGGAAATCGAGCTGCGAGTGGATTGATAATATCAAGTAGAAAATATAATGTACCGGCCATACCTTCGAATAATGAATATGGTGTATCTGGTGTACGACAGCCATGTTGTCCATAATTACAACACCATTCAGCAAATTTCAAAGCACGATACAGATGTTTTTGATCATTAGTTAATTGATATAAACGTATGAAAGCATAACCATTACCGGATGTTCCATGACAAATACCATAACCTTTTCGTAATAAACCTCTTTGCCAGATATCATTACCAGCTTTTAATGCTGATTGTAAATATTTATCATCATTATCATTTTTAAAAATCAAATGAGCAGTGGCCAATAGATAGATTAACCCGGGTGAACCATGACACCAATGTACTAATTTATCTTCTTGTTCATTTAAACAAGCGGGAAAATTTCCACTTGAAAATTGTGTATGAACAATCATATCCAATGTAGGACGGATTAATGTATGAAGTTCTTGTGAACTAATTTGTTGAATAGATTCAAGAAGTAATGATAATATACCAGCATAACCATGAGCAGCACCAACATATGGTTCATTATACCATACATATGTTAATGGCCAATTACTATGTAAATTTTTACTTGTTTTTCTACCGGATTCCAAAATGGCTACAATAATCTGTCGAATCATATTATCTGTAATCAATGATTGACGTAAATTTGGAATCTTTGATCGAAGCATTAATAATGTATAAAGATAACCAGCTCTTCCGTACAAAATTTCATCGGGTAAATCATCATTTGATTCAATAGAACATATATTCGAATGAATAGATAAAATTTTTCGAACGAATTCATCATAATTTTTATTTTGATAATAATAAATTAAAGTAGCTGTTGCGAGCATTCCAATTTCACCGCAAACAAATGTTGGAATTCGTATGCGGCGAAAATTTTTCAAACAAATTTCAATCAATTCATTTGCTTTGCGAAGATAGATTTCTGGATTTGGTAAGATTTTTGATTCGAAAATTTTTAGATAAAGTAAAGCTGCACCAGTAGTACCAGTGTAAACACTTGAATCATTATTGTTTATGGGAAAATTTTGTTGCCAATGATCAAATAATCGAATAAAATTTGATTTAATAAAATCTTTTAAATCATTATTCAATGTTCCATCAATATTGTTGATATAACAAGTTTGACCATCATAATCGGGAAATGGATTCCCGAAAAAACGATTTGTATGCATTTTTCGTTTGACAGATTTAATTGTTAAAATACGAATGAAATTCTGGAACACTGAAAACATTGAACAATGAACAACGAAACAACACACACACAGTGAAGACTTAAATATTTGTTTAGCAGATCAGCTGATCGAACGCGAAAAAAAATTTTGACAACCATAAATGAAATTAAATTTGAAATGCAGGAAATCGGGCTTGTTTTGGTTGAATACAATCGGCAAGAAAATAAATTGTACCAGCTAAACCTTCAAACAATGAATATGGTCTATCAGCAATTCTAGTTCGATGTTGATTAGGTTGAAAACACCATTCGGCAAATTTGCAAGCACGATAAAGATATTTTTGATCGTTTGTCGATTGAAATAAACGTAAAAATGCATAACCATTACCAGCCGTTCCATGACATAATCCACAACCTTTTTTCAATAATCCTCGTTGCCAAATATCATCAGCAGCTTTTTTGGCTGCATCTAAATATGATTGATCGTTGAATATTTCATATGATAATAATAACAAATGAATGATACCGGGTGATCCATGACACCAATGTACCAATCGATCTTGGGTATTATTCAATGATGATGGAAAATTTCCCGTAACAGGAAATTGTAACCGAAGAATCGAATCGATTGTGGGTTTGATCATTGTATTCAATTCTTGTTTATCATTGTCGAGATAATTTCTGGCTTCAAGCAACATGTAAAGAATACCAGCATAACCATGTGCAGCACCAACATATCCTTTTTCATGCCAATAATAAACTAAAGGAGCAATGGGATTCTTTTCTTTTCGAGATGTTAGTTGACCAGATTCAAGAATTTTTTCCACTACCGATCTAATTAGATTATTATCAAGTATTTGAGCTGAATTGGGAATTTTTTCTCTCAACATTAATAATGAATAAAGATAACCGGAACGTCCGAAAAGAATTTCATCGGGTACATCATCAGATGATAGTATTTTCGGTGCTAAATCACGAATTATTCGCAAATATTTTGTTGAATCTTTTTTATTTGCATGATTGCTAAGTACTTTGCAAGCTAAAACGCCAATTTTTCCACAAAGAAATGCTGAATATCGTTCTTTAGAATGGCGACCGATGTTTTCCAAACTTTGTTCAACCAATCCATTGACTTTGCTTAGTATATCTTGTCGTTCATTTTCAAATGCATTTAATTCATATAATTTTAAATATAATAAAATGATTCCAGTTGATCCAGTATAGATTGTAAAATTATCTGATGATAATGACATTAAATTGATTTCCAATTCGCAAAGTAATAGTCGAATATGATCAATAAAAACTGTATGCAATGATGGAATAAGCAATGCAGATTCATCATCATTATCGGTTAGTAAAGTATCATCATTATAATCAGGATAAGGATTAAGATAATAACGTTCACCCATTTTTTCTAAATTGACGTTTCAAAATCCAATGATGATTATACCATGATGCATGATGGTTAAAAAATCAACAAATGTACATGACATGTATAAACTGGGCAAAAATTTGAAAATTATCGTTTGTTTTTTTATTTTATTTTAATTGAAAATTTGTTTCGTAAAATTATAAATAAAAATATGAAAATTAATAAAATGAGATAATACTGAAATAATGATAATTTGAACAAAACAAATGTTCGATTCAAATATCAACATCATCATAATCAGGTTTTGTCCGCTAATTTAATTGTGCTTTGAACAATGTCCGGTGTATTGAAATTTCTGTTTGATGGACTGGTTGTTGTTGATGTTAACGTAGCAGTAGGATCATTATCTTGATCTGTAAATTTCATTGGCTAAAAAGGAGAAAAAAAATTGTAATCATTATAATCTTTGAATAGAGAATTTATAAAACAAACATTTTGATAAATCTTACCTGATCTATAGATGATTTGAGATCGGATGTTAACATCATCATCATCATCATATCATCATTATCATTGTTATGATGATTAAAATAATGATGATTAGTTTGAAGATATGAATCGTAATTTGTTCGCGATGATGATGATGATGAGGATGCTCGTTGTTGCTGATGATGATGATGATGATGATGATGATTAAATTTTCGACGTTCAGATTCTCGTTTAACTTCACGAACAGTTTTCACTTCATTCGATTTATTATTCATTGCTTGCTGTTGTGTTTGTTGTTGTTGTTGTTGTTGTTGATGATAATTATAAATTTGTTTAAGTTGTTGATCAACAATACTATCACCACTACTACCACCATAAGTTGTCATCACTTTATTTGGATCAAATTCACACATTGTCGTAATATTATTATTAATTTCTTTACCACCATTAATCGTTTGTGATGATGAATTTGATGATAAATGATGATGATGATGATGATTTCTATGTTGATGATGTTTATCCAGATTAATGTTAAGTGTAAAAAATTCATCATTCAAATTATTATCAATGTTGTTTATCGGATCACAATCATCATCATCATCATCATCATCGTCATTATCGATTTGTTCGTGGCCATCATTTTGTTGTTTGTTATCAACAAATGTTTGTGATTTTTTAATAATATTTTCATATAAAGGATAAAGGCTTGTTTCGGCTGCATTATTTACAGCCATTTTCAATTCTTCATTCGTAAAACGATGATAATCTGAATAATAATTATTATTATCATCCTCATCATTATCATTATCATTATCATTAAATCGATCGGTCATAAATTTCGTTTCAGAATTTTTCAAATTTTCAATCGCATTATTCAATTCTTTACGGCGATTATGTAGATCATCAATTACATCGTTAATATGTGCTAATTCAGCTTCAAGTTTTGATGAACGTGTAATTTCCATTGCTTCTTGTTCATTTTCCAAAACTTGTTTCAATTTATTTCGGGCTAAAAGCATTTCTTGTTCCATTCGTGCATTTTCCACTGCTTTTTCTTCCAATTTTTTTGTCGAATGTGTTAACATTCCACGAACACGATCCAATTCTCCTTCTAAAACTTTTTGTTGTCTTTTTAGGATTTCAATGTTTTCATTGGGTGTTTCATCTACAGCAGCAGCAACAGCAGCTGTTTGAATCGATATCGAATCAGCCGAATGATGATTATCACAATCATTCTTCATTGATGATTTGAATCGATTATCATTATTATTATTATCATCATCATCGTTATCATTAGCGACAACACGATCCAAATTCGATGTCGATGCAGCTTTCTTTTTGTTCAATTCATTGAGCATTGTTTTCGATTTCATTTTGATCATATGATCAATAGTCTGAATTATTGGCAATTGTAATTGATATTCTCGATTAATTTCTTTCCATTTTCGATTAAGCTCATTAAATCTTAATTGATAATCATCTTTACGATATGGTTCAATTTCCATCATTTTTTCTTCACTATCCATTTGCATTCGTAATTGTTCCATTGTTTTTTCTAATTGTGATTGTTTACGACGTAATTGAATTAACATTAGTATCAATTCTTCATTACTTTTACCCATATATTCAGCAGCTGAAACACTAAATCTTCGTGATGATTTTAAAAAATGTTTACGTGATGAAAAACGATTCAATGATTTAACCTTTTCATCATCATCATCGAATTGTATTTCTGAATCCGAAGCATTATTGTTGTTTAGATTTTCTCGTGATTTACGTTTTCTTCGTCTTTTTTTCAATGATGATGTTTCGATAGGAATTTCATGTAATGAATCTGTTTTTGGATGGAACGAAAAAAAACAAAATGAATTCATTAATGCTTTGCTTATCAATTAGTTCAAAATATCTGCAAAAAGGTGAATGAATTCTGGATTAATGATTTACCTAGACTATCGGCTTTATTTAATTTCTTATTATTATTCAATATTTTTCGGGTTTGTTTTTTTAGATTATTCGACAAATTTCGTTTATTATGAGAAACGGGTATAGTTGCTTGTATTGTCGGGTTTTTTGTTCGTTCGGTATAATTCTCATAAATGGGTTGTTGTTGTTGATTTGTAACTAATTGTTCAACAACTAATTCATTATCATTAAAATTGTTTTCGGTTACAATAATTTCCTTATGCTTAATCCTATTAGATGGGGAATTCTCATCAAATGGTTTTGTTGTTGTTGTTGAACAATTCATTTTACTATTGTTAGGTAATAATACTGATGATGAATAATGTTTTTTCTCATCAACATTGAAATCTTTTTTCTCATCATTCATCATCATCAGATTATTATTAGATAATTTTGTTTTGTTTTTATCCAATGTTGCTGATGTTAATGATGTTCGACTTAAAAAACGTGTATTATTCGAATCAGTACAACGTGATAATAATGGTGGTGGTTCAGCAAAATCTCCCAATTTTTTCTTCAATGCAATTTTTTGTTCTTCATTCAAAAGATCGGAATAATAATAAGGTGCACCACCACCACCACTACTACTACCATTTCCACTAATAGAAATTGAAGATTGTTTGGAATGATTTTGATCATTAATGTTTGTATCATCAACATTAATTTCGGATTTATGAACATTATTATCATCATTATCATTATCATCGCAAATTGTAGATGGACATTGTTGTTTCAAAGATTTCGTAATAGTAGCAGTAGTTGTTGTTGTAGGTTTCCTATATGTTCGAACATTTAAACCAAATTTAAATTTAATTTCTGATTCTTCATTCGATTGATTCTGTTGTACATCCGAATCATTCACCGGACAATGTTGTTTGATTTTTGTTAATTCGTTTCGTTTCAAATTATCATTTATTGCATTTGGATTGGCTGATGGTATTGGCAGACCAATTTCATTCCAATCATCATTATTATTATTATCATCATTCGATTGCTTTTTATTGATTGATAATCTAGCCATATTGTTTTTCGTTGAATTAGAATTACGTTTACAACTACTAAATTGACGTTGAAATAATAATTTTGATGCTTTTTGATATTCTTTTCGACTTAATTCAAATGGGTCATTATCATTATCATCGGGTAAATTATTACTATTTTTTCGGAAAACTTTTCAAACAACAAAAAAACAAACAAAGGGTTATTACATGATATATGTGTATGTGAAAGGGGAAATTCAAGTTATTTAAATAACTAAAAGAAGTCTGATTATTAACATGGGTGAAGAAAAAGATGAATACTTTAACCATTGAAAAATTAAGGAAATCTGCTGACCAAAATAAAAACAAAACAATACAAAACTTACTTTCATCATCAGATGTATAGGTGGTAACAATATTTTTGTCTTGTTTAATCTTCATCATTGTTGTTGTTGTTGTTGTTGTTTGTTGTTGTGGCAGACCAACTGTATCAAATAATTGTTGTTGTTGTTGAAAACGAAAAATGTATTCTTGTGGTAATGGTGGTCGATTTGGAATCGTCGTCGAAGGAATGATTTCATCATTATCATTATTATAGGTTGTATGAAAAAGATTTCTAGCCATATATGGATCAAATTTAGCGGATTGATGATAATATTTTTCGATACTAGATTTTGGCCTTGTTGGCATTATTCTTGTGGATTCTGTATTGACAATATTATTATTATTATTATTATTATTAAATTCATCACCGGTTTTATTTTCATTATTTTTGTTGATTGAAAATAATGTTTGACATTCTTGATCATCAACATCATCATTATCTAATTCAAAATCTTGATTACGTTCAAGAAAATCGGCTGAACGTGGTCTAGGAGGTAAACGTTGTTGTTGTGGAATGGACAACTGTGAATGATCAACAAGATTCTGAGCAAAATAACCATGTTCAAATTGTTGTTGTTGATGTTGCGGAATAATGTTAAAATCTGATGATATAACAGTATGATATGGCACAGGAAAATTTTGTTCATCAGCAACAGCAGTAGCAGTGGGGACAAAATAATTTTGATTAATCAAATTCTGATCTATTTGTTGTCCATGATGATGATGATGTTGATGTTGATGATACAATTTATATGTTTGTTGACGATAATCTTGTAGATGATATTGTGGTAACATTAAATCATAATAATGTCGTTGTGGTTTCGGTGGTGCATCGGCTATATATTCACTGTTATTTATAAATTGTGATGAATGATTCGATGATGGATAATAGATTGGCAATCCAATAGATCCATTATATGATTGTTGTTGTTGATGATGATGATATAATGATGGTAGATAATTTTGACCATCATAATTAGTGATTGGATAAATTTGTTGTTGTTGTTGCTGTAATTGATGAATAACATTATTCGAATCATCAATACAACGTTTTGTCTGATGATAAGCTAAAAAACCAGATTCATCATCTTGAATAATACGATTGGATAATAATCCTGTTGTTGTTCCAACTAATCGTTGTCGTTGTTCCAATATCGATTCTTTTCGATCATTATTATCATTAATCTTATTATTATTGCAATGATCATCATTAATATCATTATTGATCTGTTTATCGCCGGTCATTACATTATTATTATTATTATTACTATTGTTGTTGGTGGTGGTTGTATTTGTTGTGGCGGAAAACATTGCACTCAATTGCATAATAGAAGCCATTGAAAGAGCATTCATCCATTGTTGTTGATATTCTTTTGAATCGGCCGAAAAATAATATGTTTTCATATTATTATGTTCAGCTTTGAATGCAAATTTTCGAGATATACCATCATTACGACTAAAACATGGACTAATTTTATAACTAGGTAATAAAAGTGAACCAAGCATCTTTTCTTCGGCCATATCTATTGAATGTGAAGCGAAAAAAAAAGATAATTATCTGAATTAATAGCCAAGACAACAACAACAACAAAAAATTACCTTTGTAATAGAAAAGACAATAATCGGCAAGAACACACCATCTTCGTTTCCATTGTTTAATTGCGGCACCTTCCAACCGATAAAGCCAACCACGTAATGATACTTTAAATTCATCCGAACGATTTACATTTGGTGATCGTAAATATTGATTACTTTGTTGTCGAACCTGATTTTTTATTCCAACACGTAGACCATCCATTATTGAAGATTTAATTGATGATGATGATGTTTGATGATTCCAATCACTATTACAATTATCAAAATGATTTGAATATCGATTAAACAATGGTTGACGATAAACTATATCGCCATAATAATATGGTGCAGAATGATTATTATTTGCGGTTGATGATGGTGATTGATTCAGTTGATGATGATTTTGTAAAAATTCGTTTTGTTGTTGTGGCGATTGTTGTTGCGATGTTTCATTTGGATAAACGTTGTTTTCAAAATCGTTATAATTATTATTATTATTATGATTATTATTATTATTGATGAATTTATTGAGCAAATTTGAGCAAAAAAAATTATTCGATTCATCAAAACGACTATAAAATTGGAAAAAAAATTCATTAATCAATCAAATTCAGTTTTAAAATCAAAGCAAGAATTATGTTTTTGTCAATCAAACTGTCACTGTAAGTGTGTGGGTGTGTAATACCTTGGATGGCAGCAAATTAAATTGCTCCAATAATTTAAATTAAAATGATGGCTAGTCATAATTGGAAGTCAAATTTAAATTTGAATATCGATTTCGGAATGGACACTGAGTGTACCAGGAAAACCAATCCAAAACCAAAACCAAAACCAAACACAACAACAACAACAAAGGTCAACAATCGAAGAAATAAGATTCTTTGATTAAATTAATTTTCTATTACTGTCCCTATTATACTCTCTTCATTATATTTCTTTCTTCCCCTCTACGTTTTGATTGAAACTATGCCTCTGTGTGTGTGTGATTGGTGTGTGTATGTTCCTAGGGAAAAAATTTTTACCGTTTATTTTGCAAGCAAAAAAAAAAACAAACGCCAAAAAAAAGATGCCCAGAAAGAAATCAAAACATCCCAATATAGTCACATAGATGGATCACATACACATGTGCTGTGTACAATGTTTGTTTGTTTGTTGTTATTTTATCTTGTTCCAACAACAGAAACATAGAGGCATGGGTGTGTTGTGTATTTTGAATGTAGAATCTGAATCAGGATGATGATTCTGAATTCTATATTCTGGTTTGGTTGGTCGTTCGGTTGTATATAGCATCATCATCACCACCACCGAACAAACATTTGAAATCGGAAAGAAAAAAAAAACTTACCTTTAGTTAAATCATGATGAATTCAAGTAAAAAAAAATTTCAAATTCAAAAACTCGATCGATTTAAACTTTGATCTGATAAAACAAATTGCAAATAAAAATCATTTTTACAAAGATCGAATCGTCGATCATCATCATCAACGGCAACGATAACAACCATCGAATACGACCACCAACATATCAACACACAGAGAGAGAGATACATAGAAAAAAAAATCCAACACGGTAGACGTTCAAAGTTCAAGAATGGTGGTGGTATAGTTTGTTTGTATACAAAAACCATTCGAAAATATCTCATTCGATGAACCAAAGAAGAAAAAAAAAATTCACTTGTTGTTCACTTCATTCATTCAACGATCTCAATCTCAACGAATTATTGTTGTATACAAAAAGCAAAGAAAAGAAAAAAAAATTCTTTCAATATGACTTTTTTTTTTTTGGTTAGAGTACGAAAATATCGAACATACCTTTCTAAATAACGAAAATAATGTAATGGTGTGCTCATCCAATTCAAGACTTGTTTTTTTTTCTTTGGCTTGTTTGCTTTCTATCAAAACCGATAACAAGTGTTTTTTTCACATTCATTCTTTGTGCTTTGTTCTTCTTCATCGTTTCTTCTTGTTCTTCGTCGTCGTCGTCGTTTTTTACTTACCTTAATCAACATTTCGAGGTTCATTGATTCAATAGTGGCGATGATGATGTTGATGATGATTGTGGTGGTGTTGGTGGTGGTGGTGGTGGCATCAATTGTTCGGTAATCATAAAAGATTTCGCAAATTTCTTCATTGTGTTTTTACGAAAAACGATAACCAAAAAAAAAGATAATATATGCTCAAATCGAACACAAACAAAACAAAAAAAAAATTGCGGTCAATCCGGACCTGTTACTGTTCGAATTCGAATGTTTTTTTGGCTGAAGGGATGTTACATCCCGATCGATAGATCGATCGATGTTCATTATAATGATGATTCGTTCATCACTTCTTTGAGCAACATAAAAACTTGTTTTTTAAGATGATTTTTTTTTTTGAAGAAAAAGGTGATTGATCACAGTGAATGAATGAATGAAAGTTAAACAAATCGCTCAAAAACACATGGTACTTACGTATTAGCCTCAAGGCGAGATCAAGTTAAAAAAATTAAAAGTGTACACCCAAAATTTGCACACAATAGAACACGGTGCTCGCACAACACTTCTATGCTAACTTGCTACTTATATATAAAGAAAGAATAAAACAAACAAAAGGGGACATCATTGACTTTTAGTTAAAACTTAAAAGGCAAAAGTTCTAAAAGAACTTAAATACATTATAGATTTTTTAAAATCAAATGTTTTTATCAGCAGTTAGGTTTTCCTACCCGGAAAACCTAACTGTCCTAACCTAAACTAACCTGCCTAGATTAATTTTGATTAATTACAAACCAAAGAATATTCATCTGCTTTTTTCTTTCTTTATATAAGTAGCAAGTTAACATAGAAGTGTTGTGCGAGCATTGAGTAGCATACTCATAGCATTGAGTTTTTGGCTCTTGTAGATTAGGAACCAAAAACTCAATGCTAACTTGCATAAACAGAGAAAAGAGCAAATGAACATTCTTTGGTTTTCAATTAATCAAACTTAATCTAGGCAGGTTAGGTTAGGTTAGGTTAGGGCAGTTAGGTTTTCCGGGTAGGAAAACCTAACTGCTATTGAAAATATTTGATTCAAAAAAAAGATGTGATGACAAAAAACTCATGACACTTTATTTAAACGGAAAATGTTCAGTAATAGAATTGAATATTGAATCAAACAAATCTTTGTTTTCATTTGTTTGGTTTTGCCTCCAAATAAATTCAGACAAATATGATTCTAGATGATGACGGGAAGTTCCCCTGTGGCGTTTGTTACGCCATTTAATGCTACCCCACATCCTTTCTACTGTTTGAGTGTGAGTTCCGGATTCTGGATCGATAAAATTAAAATGATGATTTACTGTTGCATGTTGGAATCCCTCTTTCTCCATATTATTTGTTTGGTAGCCTTTCCAGCTATCCGAATAGATCGTGGTGCCATTTTCTATATTTTCAATCATTTTTTCCAACAAAGTTGTCCCTGATCGATTTTCAATAGTTACGACAAATGACTCCTTAGTTTCCCGACATATTCCCCCGAATATCCACTGCTGTGGTAAAACTCTACCTGAATTATTCTTTCTCTTAGTGAAAAGACTTTCGTCTATTTCGACTATGCATCCCGGCCCACCGATTTTTTTTTTGGGTTTCTTTTGTAGATCTAAAATGCATAACTCTCTGAGATAATTATTCCAGTCAATAACCGTTTTATCAGAAATTTCCAACTGCTTTTCGCAGAATTTTATCGATGTTAATTCTTCACACCAGCAATAGATAAATCTAATTGCGGTGCAAAACGAAATCCGACTCCCTTCGAACCATGTGTCCTTTCGTAAACCAAACTGTTGATTGCATTCTTTCCTATTGCAGATCCAGAAAACTCTTTTCTTTATATTTAATTTCATTTCGTGACCTTTCGAACAAATTTTGGATTTCGGCAAAACATTTTTGTCTTGTAGAAAAAGAATTGCTTCTTCTTCTGTTTTGGGAAGATCCCATATAAGCATATTTGATTTTGCACTTAAGAAATAATAGAAACAGTAGAAACAATTGACACAGTAATAATAATAAAAATTTTATTAAAAAGTTTATCCGATGGATATTTACGCTAAAATAAGAAATTCAAAATAAAATATAGATTACAAATATTATGCAGATAGCCTAGGAGTATAAAATACAATGTTTAAAATGAAACAATTGACACAGTAGAACTTTTCTTTTAGAACTAAACTGAAGTGTTATTCATATTTATTAAACACAAAAAAGTTCTTTTAGAGCTAAAATGAAGTGTTATGCAAGCGTTTAAACAACACTCTCAAATTTGCGTGCAAACTTGATCTCGCCTTGAGTCTAATACGTAAGTACCAAACACATTTTTGAATAAACATTTATTTTTTGTTTTCGAATGGAAAACAAATTCAATTGTTATCCATTCAATGAGGAAATCTTCAGGAAAAAAAACGATTTTCGGTTGGATCATCATCATTATCCTGGGGATTAATTTGAAAGGATTAAGCAAGGGGAAAATAATAGTATTATTTTTTTTTCGGGAATTATGTAAATAAATAACCGGAAATCGGGTAAACAAAATCAGTGAGAGAGAGAGAGAGAGAGAGAGAGAAATAAAAAAAATCTTTATCAATCTGTCATTGTTTACTGTGTGTATGCAGAGCCATCTATTGATGTCAGATCGAATTTGAATTTGAAAAAAAAAATGAAAAAAAGGAAAATCCTCAATGAAATTCTGAATGATGAAAATGAAAATAATTTTCCGCTCAGTTGCGGCCGTTATCTTATTCTTACCATTCTTTATTTTTTCGGTAAATATGGTTAACTAAACTAAACTAAACTAAATCCTACTTCACAATTCACATTTCATTTATTTTGACAAAATGAGATTCTCTTATCTGATGATCTCAAGTCATGCGTTTCAATTCAATTCTGACTGTCAGTCAGTCATTCAGATACATGTCAACACTTTTTGGATTGTCAACACTTTGTTCGTTTTGTCGGTGTTTTTTTTTGTTTGTTGTGATGTTTCAATTTTTTGTTTTGTTTGTTGCGAATAGGTCTCGGTCAGTGAGCCGTTACTATCGCATAACGAACAGAAACCAAAAATTTTTCATCACCAAATTCACAACCACCAGCAAATTGATTTTTTTCTCACTTTTTTTTTGCAAAATAGTTATTGCTTAATTGGAAATGAATGAATGCAGTGAACAAAAAAAAACTTTTTTCATTCATTCATTTTTCTCCTTCCTTCAGATTCATTGTTATCGAATGAAATTGTTTGACAATTCAATTGAAATTCTATGTGAATGTTTTAGTCAAGTTGGAAGAAAAACGATTCCGTTTTTTTTCTTTTTTTGGAACCGGTACGGTATTCATATTTTTTTTTTTTTTGGGTTTCGTTTGCGGTAAATTGCATTTGATATATGGCACGATTGGTGATAAACGATTGGCTGGCTATTGTTGAATGATGAATATGACTAACACTAACTAACACTAAACACGGGATTTATCAACATCTCAATTGAATCAATATTGAACAAAAAACAACCACCAACAACATTAACAATAACAATATGGTTTACAACCAAAATAATTCAAACCAAATCAATTGACATACACTGATATTGCCATTTATAATGAATGTGATTGAGTGTGATTTTCAATTAATCGTTATTGTTGGTTGTTGTTATCCCGATGACATTTTAATTTTGTTTCAATACAGCAAACACAATTAAAATGTCATCGATATCAACCAACCAACCAACCAGCAATCAACGATATCAACCACGATTGATGTTAACAAATTGTTTAATTGTATTCAGAAACATTTTTTTACGACAACATTCAAATCAATTCAAATCGGAAAAATCAGAATACCAAATACTAAACTAAACTTTAACTAACTTTGACTAACTAAATTGATTGACAAAAAAAGAAAAAAATTTGTTTTTCATTCATTATTGTTGTTGCTGTTGAAAGTCAATTATCTCAATGAAAATAGATTTTTTTTTTTGTAATGGTTTTTTGGTTTGATTTGATTTTTAACACCTCTAGAGTTACGCAGAAAGCGCAGCTGCTCTTAGTTTATTTCAGGATGAAAATAAAAAATTTGGCACACGAACTACGCGCGTGCAAATCTTATTGTTGTTGTTGCTGTGTGACGGGTCAAAGGTCGAAACAATCAACATCATTGAATTGAATCGGGCGATAAACAACAACAATTTGTCGCCACACTATCATCAACACCAACCAACCATCAAGGGAAAAAAAACATTGAAAAATCAAATGGTACTTGTAAAGATGAATGAATGGAGAAAGAAAATCTCGTAAATTAGCTTTTTTGTTTGTTCGTAGTGGTGGATCGAATAAATCGATGATCATCGATGAAATTCAATTACAGAATTGACTTATGGAACACACCATTTACACAGAATCACAGAAAAGATAAAAGCAGATGTTATCATGAATGGATGGATCAGGAATTTTTTTTTTTTTTTTGATCCTATAAATCCTTTATCAAAATGATATGAATATTTCATTTTGGGTTCCAAGCTTCAAATCGATTATAATTAAATAACTTTTACTGAACCAAACCATAAGTTTGAGAGAGATAAATTATTTATCAGTTTTTTTTTTTTGTTTCTACAGGGTTTTCTACAATATTTTGATCGATGACAATGAACAAAGCGGTAAGCATTTGGCTGAATTTCATTGATAATGATGATGATTATGGCAGATGTCCCGACACCAACAACAACAACAATTTGTGCAAAGTGTAAATTGCCTAATAAAGTCATCATCAAGAGAAATTTGCCGAATCGTGACGTAAAATCATAGTGGTGCCAGAAAATGAAAATAAAAAAAATAAATCCAATCACGGCACGATATGATCCGAAACTTTTTCGTTTTTCTTTTCGAACGATGGATGACAGAATTTATCATCAACATTCCATATTTTTTTGTTTCGTTTCGTTTCAAAATATTCGAAACGGTCATGATATTCTTGCACAGGCGACACGCCTTTTTTTCATCATCAAAAATGTGTGAAAAAAAAGGAATTTTCCATGACTCTTTTTTTCACACATTCTCAAACGAACTATGGTGTTGGAGAGAGTCATGGATTCTTTTCATTCAAATGAAAAGAGAGAGAGAGAATGAATAGGAGCCATTCTTTAGTAGAGTTTTATTATCATGGAGCATTGTGGAAATATGCTAAGCTCCGCCTTTAAATAATTCAACCAATCAAAATGATTTAAATAAAATTTTGGGGGAAAAAGTGGGCGGATGTTTTTTTCGATATAGGTCTATCCCCGTATAATATTTGATGATGATGGTTACGACAAACATCGAGGAGTCATGGATTCAAATCATTCAACAACGACGACGGCGAATCTGACCAGGAATTTCGGTTATCCAAAAACCAAAACCCGAACCGAAAATTTAAAAGGATTTTTTGTCACAGACACACACACCAACCGATCATCATCATCAGTTACCGATTAGTTTTTGGATTGTCAACGTAATCATCAACAACCTCGAAAACCAGAAAAGAAGAAACCAGAAAAAGAATATGCCTCATACAGGTAAGGTATCCTGAAGAAAAATTGAAAAAAATTAACCCTTGATTATCAATGAAATGAAAAAAAGGTCAAGCTGGTATCAATCAATTAGGTGGTATATTTGTAAATGGTCGTCCATTACCATTACATGTTCGTCATCGTATTATTGAATTAGCATTATTAGGTGTTAGACCATGTGATATATCCAGGCAATTATTAGTATCACATGGTTGTGTATCAAAAATTTTAACCAGATTTTATGAAACAGGTAAGTTTTTGGGTTAATTTTTTTTTTTAAATCAAACATCGAAAAATATCTAATAATAATCATGTGATTTGCTGGGATCAAAGGATCAATCAAACCGGGAACCAATCATCTAAGTAAGTATTTTTTTTTTCTGTTTGAAATTTTTTGTTTGAAAAAACTTTGAAAAATGTCCCCCCCAAAAAAAATAACTCAAATAAGGAGGTGGTAAAAATAATAATCGATCGGGATCAAATTCAAACAACAACAACAACAACAACAATTCCAACAATTCAACACCAAATTTAGTAAAAAGAATATTACGTTTACGTAATGAAAATCCAGCATTATTTGCATGGGAAATACGTGAATTATTACGTAAAGAATTACAACAATCATCATCATCATCATCATCAACATCAACAACATTATCATCAAATGATGACGTATCAATCAATAATTCTGATAATCATCATCATCAAGGGTTAAATCTTCAATCATCATCATCATTACCTGGAACATCCGCAAATCATCATCAACAACAACCGCAACAATCATCATCATCGATGATCAATCGATCGATTATAGATCCGGTGACAATAAATTTCCAGCCATCAACATCATCATCAACATCGTTATCGACGAATGTAAATTATTTAAATATTTTAAATTCATCATCATCATCGACATCGACATCAACATTTGTGCAATCATTATATCAATCATCATCATCATCAACAACATCTAATCATCATCATTGGAATGCAATTATTTCACATTATCAACAACAACAACAACAACAATTTCAACAACAACAACAACAACAACAACCAATAAATCGATCATCAAAACGTAAATTTAAAACATATTTGATTGATGAAATATTGAAAAATGATGATGATGATGATGATGACGGTGATGGTGATGAACGAATTAAAAATATTGATGAAAAAAGTAATCAAATAGAATCCAATACAATCGATACAACAATCGATATTGAACAACAGGAAAAAAGTTCATCACTATCGATTATCGGAAAACAATCATCGTCATCATCGGGAAAAAGTCGAATCGAATCAACGAACACAACAATATTCGAACATCAACACCAACAGCAACAGCGGCAAGGATGTTCGAATGCATATTATAATTATCTTTATCAAACTTTTATCTGTAAACATCAACAACAACAAACTTCAACAAAAAAAGATAAAAATATGATGATCAAAACAACAAATCAATTTGTCGAATCATCATCATCCAATTCATCCGCATCATCATCATTGAATAATTCAATTATTGATTGTGAAATAAATGATGAATTTAATAAATAAAATTAGATTTGAATTTTTGTAATTACATCACTAATTTTTGAATCAATTTTTAAAATAATATCATTATTATTTTGATCATTTTGTAAAAAAGTATCAGCACGTGTAGGACCAATATTAACAATAGCTAATGGTTTTTTCAATTGAATTTGTTGTAAAATAAAACGAAATATTGAAAATACTTTTAATGATGATCCAAGCACAAGTAATGAATCACATTCATTATTTAATTTTTTATAAATTTTTTCCACTAAATGTTGATCAACATTATCACCGAAAAAAACAATATCAGGTTTGAGTAAACCATTACAACGTTTACATGATGGAAAACGAAATGAATGAACGAAATCATCGATTATATCGATATCACCGTCCGGACGTATCGTTCGATTGTTGTTATTGTTTTCTTGTAATAATCTTGCTCGTAATGATTTATCATCATTAAGTAAATCTGTATTCATTTCGTTAAGAATTGTTTGAAATAAAATTCTAGATATACGATGATTACAATCAATACATTTTACATTGTAAAGATTACCATGTAATTCTATTACCGATTCACTACCAGCTTTATGATGTAATCGATCAACATTTTGTGTAATGATTGTATTCAATTTTCCTAATCGTTGCCAATCGGTCAATGTTAAATGGCTAATATTTGGTTGACAATTATGAATATAATTCCATCCTAAAAAACTTCTTGCCCAATATCGTTGTCTTGATGAATGATTACCAAGAAATTCTGAATAATTCATTGGACGATAACCATTACGTGAATAAAGGCCAACATCTTTTGAACGATAATCTGGTAGACCACTTTCAGTGGAAATACCAGCACCGGTTATTACAGCTAATTTTTTACTTTTATCAATAAATATTTGTAATAATTCTATATCTTTTTCGGTACAGGTTTTAAATGCTGGTACAAAGTTTCTGGCCATTTTTTTTATTTAACACATTAACAGAAGAAAAAAAGAGAAGAACAATTAGATCGATTAAATCAAATAAAATCTCTTATTCAAGATGATCGAGCAACGAAGATCCAATATGTTTTTCTGTCTGTCTTTGTGTATCTTTAATTTGATATTAACTTCAGACACGGCGTCATGCTCTGGATAAAAACAACAACTGCTGAGTTTCTTACAAAAAAGAGTAAATATGATTATGATAATAATGATGTTTATAATTTCAATGCTGCTTCTACATTCTCTCTATACTCTCATAGAAGATATATAACTCAATCGTCATCATCATCATGTTTTGGTTTATATGTTTAACAACATTAACAGCAATGGCATCTGTACCTATTTATCGAATATTCGGCACAACAATTCGTCATCGTTCACGATTATTATGTCAACATTTATATCGTTCATCCCTTGTTAATAATCATTGGAATCAAACATTATCGTTATCGTCGTCATCGAATGGTAAAGAAAAATTTCGTATTTATACTCGTACTGGTGATAGTGGTACATCGGGATTATTTACCGGTGAACGTCGACCAAAAGATGATGCAATATTTGAAGCTTTAGGTACAACGGATGAACTTACTTCCTCGATTGGTTTTGCTCGTGAATTTATCAATGATCCAATAATTCTTGATGAACTTGAACAAATTCAATGTATTCTACAGGATTTACAGGCAACAGTTGCAACACCAAAAAGTTCATCAAATGAATTTCAATTACGTAAAACAAAATGGAATGTTAATCATTTGATTGATTTGGAAAAATGGTTAGAAATTCATACGGATAAATTACCACCATTACGTAATTTTATTCTACCATCTGGTGGTAAAGCTGCATCTTCATTGCATTTGGCAAGGGCTATATGTCGACGTGCTGAACGAAGATTAATACCATTGTTAGATGAAGGTCTGGAACTTCCAGTTGTACAATATCTAAATCGTCTTAGTTCATATCTTTTTATTGTGGCAAGAGTTTGTTGTCAACAAGAAGGCCATAAAGAAGTTGTTTATTGGGAAAGACCAAAATATAATCGTCAAAATGATGATGATGATTAACCCCTTTGTGATCTAATTATTCTGTTAATTTTTTGTTTACTCTAAATATATCTTATAATAATACTCAAGAATAAAATTTTAAATTTTCTATGGAAATTATATATTTTTTTTTTTAAATAAAAAAAAATTTAAAAAAATTCAAATTTTCTAAAATCTTTTTAAATAATTGACATTCAGGAACATTGTTTATGAATGGTGTTGAAAATTTTCACACACACACACACATTCTCAATCGAATGATTATTGTTTAGTCATTGTCACAACCATCAAAAGATATTTTAATTTGAAACAATTTTTCTTTTCAAAAAAAAAACATTTATTTACTTTTATAATTTAGTATCGTTTGATTCAATATATTCTAACAATGAGTTATGATCGTGCTATAACCGTTTTTTCACCCGATGGTCATCTATTTCAAGTGGAATATGCACAAGAAGCTGTAAAAAAAGGTTCAACTGCGGTAAGTTTATTAAGTTGAAAAAAATTTCAATGATAATTTTTTATTATCGTTCAATAGGTTGGTGTTCGAGGAAAAAATATTGTTGTTTTAGCTGTGGAAAAAAAATCCGTTGGAAAACTACAAGAAGATCGAACAGTGAGAAAAATATGTTTATTAGATGAACATGTTATGATGGCATTTGCCGGTTTGACAGCTGATGCTCGAATTCTAATCGATCGTGCTCGTATTGAATGTCAAAGTTATCGTTTGACAGTTGAAGATAAAGTTTCAGTAGAATACATTACCCGTTATATTGCCCAACTTAAACAAAAATATACCCAATCAAATGGTCGTCGTCCATTCGGTATTTCGAATCTAATTGCTGGATTCGATGATGATGGTACAGCAAGACTTTATCAAACCGATCCATCGGGTGTTTATCATGGTTGGAAAGCAAACACTACTGGTCGTAATGCTAAATCTGTTCTAGAATATTTGGAAAAAAATTATAATGATGAAGCAATCGAAACAAATGAATCAACAATCAAATTAGCCATCAAAGCTTTATTAGAAGTTGTACAAGGTAAAAATCTTGAAGTAGCTGTTATGGAAAAAGGTAAATTAATGCGTGTATTAGCTGCCGAAGAAATTGATAAATTTGTTACACAAATCGAAAAAGAAAAAGAAGAAGAAATGGAAAAAAAGAAAGCTAAATAATCAGAAAGAATTTTCAAACAACAAAAATAAATTTTGTACTGATTTCTTTAATGATAATAAAACAAAAAGTTTTTTTTATCAACTTTGAATTTGTTTTTTTTTCGAAAAAGTTCCTATGGAAACTTTAACAAACCAAACGGAACTTGATGATATTTGCCTTGCTGGCTGGGTAAAAATTGTTGCAACAAAAAAAAATGATTATTGATTATGATCAACACCATTAACGATATTTCGTATCATCGATTCGATTGAATTGATTTTGATAATTTTTTTTTGTTTTGTTTCATATCATTCAATTTGCGATATGCGTTTCAACGAAAGCTTAACTGTTGATTGTTGATTGAAAAAAAATGTTTCATTTCAATTTCGACCTTTGAATCATCATATATATCACTCTTATTTCATATTTTTTTTCTCCTACGTTGAGCTAAACAATCCAACCAGAAAACAAAAATGAATCAAATTTACCTGTTTCGAATGTTATTTAATATTGTCATTATGATAATGTCAATTGTTGTTGCTGTCGTTGAATCAACAGTTATATATACAAAATATCCAAATCTTTGTGGACAAAATACAAGTCTTTCGGAACCGAATATTGTTCTAAAAATTGATTTTAATGTTGATGAACAATTGGTTAATAATAATGATAATTGTACAACAATCATTCAATGGACTGGTTCACCAGATATTCGTTTAATACCGAAAATTATACAAACCAATAATATAATGTTAAATCAAACAGCTAATGATAATGATTCGAAAACAATTGTTTTGGATATTATTGAAACACCTGGTCGTATTTTTCAATTAAATATTTATGGATCGAAAGCATTTTATCTGGCCATGATACCAACGAATGGTATGTAAACTTTTTTTGCTTGTTGCTTATTTTGATATAACGAAAAAAAAAACAAAATTGTTTCACAGTTAACAAAGATATTGATGGTCATTGTATGGATGATTATTTGGATTGTGGTTCAAAATATTGTATACATCGTGATTTGGTTTGCGAACGAATTATTCATTGTTATCCATCTAGTTTAATCTGTGATGATAAAAGTAAGTAAAAATTTTTAAACAAATTAAATCCACTAACCATATTAATAAATTCATTTTTCTGTTTTTAGCTCCATCGAATGAATTTCTTGTACTATCATTTCTTGCTGTTGTATTTTCCTGTCTACTTGTTTCAATGATATTATCCGTATTTATTTATTACAAAATTCGTTCCAGTAATAATGAATTGAATGATAAATTATTGATTGGTAACAGGACAAATTTGAAACCAAAATTATATGGAACTGTTAATGGTGATAGTTTTGCATCATTACCATCCGATAATCATCTATTTAAAACACGATTCTATCAAAATATTCAACATTATAATGAAAGATTAAATTCATATATTAAATGAATGATTTTTTTATGTTTGTTTTATTGATTAGATTATCGAAAATCAATTTGATTAGATTATATAATTTGAAGATTGAAATTGAATGAAGTTAATGAAGATTTTGATAACATTTTAATAGTATAATTTTCATCAATTCTAATTGCGATACAATGATATCAGATATTTCATAAATCTCTATATGTTCTTCATCGTTCAATAATTCAACATCGAAAAATGCAGCTGAAAATGCTTCCGGTAATAATTGTATCAATTCGATTCCATTCTCTTCAACAAGCATTTCAATTATTTTTGCAATCGGTGATAAATCTTTGGCATTTTTATATGTCACTACATTTAGATGACATAATTGTGTAGATACATCGTTAATATAACCTTCTGATATTTTTTTTCGAAATAAAAAGATCAAACAATTTATCATTAAAATTTTTTTTCCAATTTACCTTTGATTTTTTTACTAAAAAAAGCCAATGTCAATTCGACTCCAGCATAATAAAGTATTTGTGATACGTTGAATGCTGTCCATTTTGTTGGTGTCATAACGATACGATCAATCAATTCGATCAAAACTTATTAATGAAAATTATTAATAATGAAAGAAAACATAATCCAAAAAAACTTACAATCTTTAGTGTAGGAAAATTCTTGGAATTTTACATACAGGAAATACAATGTTAATCCTAAATCTTCAAAACATTTCTCGTTGAAATTTGTATCAGCCAAATCCCACCAGGCAATGTATGGTAATGATGATGTATGAAAATTGTTATTCGCCGATACTAATGGACCAAAAATGACGATAAATAACCGGGCTCTCTCTGGCAATGAATAAACATTCACGGTTTTCATTAACCAATCAATTTTTTCCTTCAAATTATTCAACGAATCATATGGATGTGCAAAAATCATTCGGAAAAAATTTCGTACCAATAATTCTTGTTTTTGTTTGGATCCTAATGTATTTTTTAGGATTTTTTGAATTTGTAAATCAATTTCACAAACATCTGAAAAGAAATGTTCAGAAAATAAAATTCACCAATCAAGTTAAATGAAAAGGAATTGATAGAAAATATACCTTTAAGTTTTTGAAACATTTTTGAACATTCAAAATCACGCCAACCTTGTATGAAAGAATTGATTAGTTTCGAATAACATTTGATTATCAATTTGAAATGAACATAATCCTGATTGGATAATAAACGAATTGATGGTATACCAAAACCGGATTTCATGATATGAATAATTATATCAATACGATCATTAGTTGGAAACAAAAGTGTTGATCGTTTGATTAGTAAACCAATTCGAACAAATAGTTGTTGTGTTTCGAAGACGAATTTCGGTTCATATACATCAAAACTATCAAATTGATTTGTACGGATAAGAAAAACAAATCCCGATTGAGTGAAGAAAAAATATTTGATTATAAAGTCACGAATTTTTGAATTGGTCATTGTTAATTGACCAAGTTCTTCGATTGAAAGTAATTGAAATATTTTTATAATTATTTCTTCAGGCAAACGATCAAAATAACCAATCAATTCTTCATTTCGATATTTTTGTCGATCGATATTATTATTTTTAATTTCGGTATAAAATGGAACTTCATACGATGATAAAATAATTTGTTTATTATTATTTTTCTTCATAATCATATCGGATTCAATTGGTAAAGATGTTGTTGAATTTTTTCGTTTGATTCCGGATCGATTCATGATTATGGTCATTATCGCAGATCATCACAGATATCGAATGTCATTATCGTTCGATTTACAAAGTGTTCGAAACATTAAAACATTCGAATCGATTTGATTGGCGGATTTTTTCTTTCGAATTTTAAACTTACGATAGTATCGCCCATCACCGATGGGTGGCATCACTGATTTTTTTCATTTTCCAAATCGAATGTTTTTTTTTTTGGTCTGCTCGATTTATTTTCACGAAAAATGGTAAGCCAAATTCATTTCAAATGAAAAATTTTTTCGTTAAAATTCGTTTTTTGATTTTTTTAAATAGAAATTCAAATTTTGTGGCGATAATGATTGTCAGGATTGGATACTGGCACAAATCAATGTTTGTTCGAAATTAACATCAATCAAATTGAAATTGATTCTTAAAGAGGTGATGCATCATATTGTAAGCGGAAAGCTTGATGTAAGCATTGATCAATTTAATCAATTAATTATTGATAAATGAATCTCAATTATAGCTACCAAAAGTTTGTAAATTAACTGCTGATGCAAAACTAACCGAAGAAGAAACGAAAGCTATTTTGGCAGCATTAAATTTTATCATTTTATCTTCAATCAAATATGAAACCGATAGTGAAACATTGTCGAATGAATTACAACAACTTGGTCTACCAAAAGGTTCATAATCAATACTTGATTTTTCTTTTTTGCACTAATCCTGTGTGTGATACATTGCAGAACATTCCATAACTTTATCCAAATCTTATGCCGATAAATTCAACGAAATCAAACAAATGCTACAAGAACAAAGCTTGCGATGTAAGCAATTTTATAATGATATTTAAAATGTTATATTGAAATTCAAAAATTTCTTTCTATCCAAATTCTAATCTAGTGGATCCAATGTTGGAATGTTCTTATGAGATTGTATCGAAATTCAATCAAGATCAAACAATGTCTGTACATTGTCCATCATTGTTTTTAACCATAAAAACAAATCCAACAACTACTAAAAATGAAACAACAACATTTCATGTTATACCAGAAAAATTATCTTGTTTGATTAACGATCTCAAAGAGGTGGAAAAAATGATGAATGAATCTGATGATTAAAATCTTTGTTTAATAACTTTTATTTGAATAATTTCATAACAAAACTTTTTAAATTTTTGTACGTAGTTTATGAACGGATGGCTATGAAAGGAAAAAAAAGGTGTGGCTAATTTTGAAAGATGAGCGTTTTTTTTTGAAAATCAGCCAATCACAAATAACCGTTGAAATTTTCGAAGCGTTCGATCCGTGGTGATACGGTGTGTGTCAAATAAGTTGTGTTCTTTGATCTTTTGTGTTGCTTGTTTTTTTCTCTTCATTATTGTATGGTGATTCTTTTTTTTCTTTTTTGTTGTTGTTGTTGTTAAATTGCTTTTGATAAAAACAAACAAGGTATATCATCTGAAAATATCATCCAAAAATCAACAAGTATCACCATGAAAAGATCTTCGAAAAAAAATGATGATCATATTGGTTCGAAATTACCACGATTACAAAATTCAACAAATGATAATGGTTCAACAACAGCATCAAATAATGATCGAATAAAAGTTTGTGTTCGTGTTCGTCCATTAAAACCAATAGAATTGGAAACAAATACTAAATCAATAATCGATGTTATTGATAAATCATTATTGGTATTTGATCCATATATTTATGATGAAGATAATAATCAATATGAATATCATGGAAAACGTTATAAAGAAATTGGTAAAAAAGCCAATAAAAATTTACAATTTAATTTTGATCGTGTATTCAATGATGAAGAGAATAATCTTTCTGTTTATACTGAAACAACAAAAGATATGGTTGAAGCATTATTGGCCGGTTATAATTGTTCAGTATTTGCATATGGTTCAACTGGTTCGGGTAAAACACATACAATGCTTGGATCAACAAATGATCCTGGTGTTATTTTCTTTACAACAATGGATCTTTATAAACAAATCGATGAAGAAAAAGATCAAAATCTTGAACTGAAAATATCCTATTTTGAAATCTATAATGAAATTATCTATGATCTACTTGATCCAACATCAAATCAACCATTATCTGTACTGGAAAATGCTAATAAAAGTATTACTGTTAAAAATTTAAGCATACATCAACCAAAAGATGCACAACATTTAATCGAAATGCTTGAATATGGTAATAAAAATCGTAAACAACATCCAACAGATGCTAATGCTGAATCATCACGTTCACATGCCGTATTTCAGATAACATTACAACGTAAAGATTTTTCTGATGATCAAGATATGTCAATCCAAGTTTCAAAAATGAGCCTAATTGATTTGGCTGGTAGTGAACGAGCATCGAATGCATATAAAACATATCGAAGTAATAGTTTACATCGTGAAGGTGGTAATATAAATAAATCATTATTATCATTGGGTAATTGTATTCATGCATTAACAAGTAATAAGAAAGATGTTTATGTACCATATCGTAGTTCGAAATTAACAATGATATTACGTGATTCATTGGGTGGAAATTGTAAAACATTAATGATAGCAACTATTTCACCATCAGCAAATCAATATGAAGAAACACATAATACATTGATATATGCTGAACGTGCACAAGGTATACAATTATTTGCACAAAAAAATAATATAACTGTCGGTGTTCAACCAAGAGATTATAAACGAATCATTGAAAATATGACCAGAGAAAAAGCTAAACTATTGAATACAATTGAAGAATTGAAACAAAAATATCAAAATCATGTGGAATGTGTACCAAAAAATCCAATCAATACATCGAAAGATTCATTGGCTAAATTAAATTCGGTAAAAAATACATTGGATGATCATTTTCAACAACGCATTGAATTACGATCAAAACTTTTGGATTGTGAACATAATATAAAAATGTTGGATGTAAGTGTTATTTATCTTTTCGTTTTTATCTTGATTTTTTTTACATTTTTTTTCATTTAACAGTTACGATTATTATTCCGTGAATATGAAAATGAACGGGCAAAATTATTTAATGTTATTGAAGAAGAGAATCGATCCGAACAGACAAAAAGTTTGCATTCGATTTATGGACAAAAATTACATTATTCAAATCTAAAGATATCGATCGAAGAACAAGTAAAAGAAAATGAAACAAAAATTATGGAATTTGAAAATGATTTGATTGCCGCAACCGATAATGATATTATTGTACGAAGTTATTTTATTGAAAATCATTGTATTGTTAAAAAGAAAGATATGGACATGTTTCAAGAACATTCTAAAAAAATGTTTGAAGAATTTTATTCAAAATATAATGCATTCCATGAGCTTACTGAAGATACATTTAATTATATTTATAAATCATATCATATATTGAATGGTTTAGGAAAATTATCCGAAGAAATGGATGAAAAATTTCAATCGATTGCACAGAAAATAAATGGTAAAAAAAGTGTTATATGGCGTGATAATATCGATTCAACATCAATGATAAAAACAAAAGCCATAATCAAACTTTTTTCATTACCCGTTTATGATGGTGTAATGAATAATACACCGGAAAATAAACGAAATTTGGTAGCCATACGTGATATAACACCACGTTTATTACGTCCAATACAAAATAATCATAATGGAGGAGGAACACCTAAACATATTGGAACAATGAATCATCAAGGTCTTGGCAACACAATAACTAAATCTCGTAATGTAGCCATGATTAATACACCTGGACAACAACAACAACAAAATTCATCACGTTATTATAATAATAATTATAAAAGTCCAAAATATTTTAATCAACCATGGCCACGATCTATTAGTAGTTCACAACGTAAACAACAACGACAATTTGGCTATCGTAATAATAATAATTTCAATTATAATAATGATGGATTATCAAATTCAAGAACCAATTCGGAAAACTTTAGCTATAATCCAAATTTTCGACCAAAATTTCGCTTTTAAATAATTACCATTCTTTTTTAATTTTTATTCATTTATTCATTATGACGTAAAAAAAACATATAGTATTAATTATGCTCATAAAATCATTTATTTGCTCATTATGTAAATGTAATTTTTTAATTAATATTTTTCATTTAATTCAATAAATTGTTTTTTTAAAAAATTTTCGATTTTTTGTTGAGCTTTAGATGGCAGCACCTGATTTACAAAAGTGAGAATTGTCATTATTCATTTTTTTTCCTGAATGATGATGGATCAAACAAAATTTAAAGAATTTAAATTTATTATTTTAGGTGATGATATTTAGAAATAAATTCACTACAAATGTTTATTTATAGCTGCAAAATAGCGTAAGCAACAACCAAAAACAATTGCGTTGTTTCGTGCGATTCAATCAATCAATCAATCGTATACCATTGATCGATTGATTGATTAACTTTTTATTTAGATTTTTTTTTCCAACAAACAAGAAAAAAAAATGATTCCAAATTTAACTTCTTTTTTTTCGGTTGGTTGTTGTTTGATTGAATAATTGATAAGTGATGAGTGATGATCACATTATCACTTCCGACAATTTTGTTTTTCGGGAAATATTCCGTGCAAAGAAAGTGAAAATAAAAAAAAAGAAAACCAAGAAAGATTTTCTCCTAATTCAAATGTAATTTACCAGCAAAGGCAAAAGCAGCAGAGAAAAAAAACGGTGATAAATTAAATTTTCAAAATATCAATCGTCTGCCATGTCTATTTTTCGAATCATCATTATTATTGTTGTTACTTGATGCTCAAATCGAATCGAATCAAATTGAATTGAATTGAATTGATGTTTTAGCCATTTTCCAATTTCGACAACAATATCCAGAATATGAATGAAAACGAAACATTCAATTCATTCATTCATTCATTCAATTTTTTCAGACTTTTCAACCAAAACACAAACACTCTTTAAACATTTTGATGATGATTTTTTTTCGCACTTTTTTTTCTTGTTCAGACAAAACAGAGAAAAAAAAAGAAACCAGATACGAATTATGATGCCGCGGTTAATCATCGATTGGGTGGAAAACAGAAACAGAAACAGAAAAATTCTTTAGCATTTGTTGTTGTTGATGTTCACACTTTGTTAAAAATGAAATGATTTTTTTTTTGTTTTCTGCTTTCATTTTGCTATGTTTAAACAAACCAAATAGCTGAATAGTTTGGTGATGCTATTGTTTTGTAGAGAATTTCATTCATTCTTTTGGCTTGTCTCGTGTTTCTTTGATTGACAAGAACAATATTATGTGTGTGTGTGTGCGGAAAAAGGTAAGGTAAAAATTGATCTTTGGCTTTGGCTACGTTTTTTTTTGTTGTTGTTGTTGATCCAAATTGAATGTGTTAATGATTATGATAATTATCATCATTCATTTGATCTAAAATAAATGGATGGAAATCATTTTTTTTTTCATTTGATTGTGGTGGCCTTCGACATTTGTTGATTGTTTAGTTGTTGAATGTTGCCAAAGGGAAACAAAAAAAACCGAGCCCCGAAAAAAAGAAAGAAAATGTTTTCTTCTGGTCTTTTGAAGTAAAAATAATTTGTTGTTATCTTCGTCAATTATGGCGGGTAGACACAATTCAATTCAATTCAATTCGATAACAATGATAATGGTTAATGGTTAACTATATGGATATTCTTTTCTTTTTTTTTTTGTTGTTGTTGTTGTTAATGATAATTTACGCATGCCATGCAATGATCGTCAGTCATCCATGTATACATTATTTTTATTGTATGTTGTATTGGGTCGTCGTCGTCGAAAACCATTACATAATTTTCTTTTTCTTCTTTGATTTCAATCATTGATGATGGCAAAAAGGAAAGATTGTGAAGATGATTTTTCTCTTGGATTCGAAAAAGAATTCATTTATTTACCTCGCACCTATTATGAATCGAGAATCTTGATTCATTCAAATTCAAAAAGAAATGTCCAGAAGAAAAAAAAAACATTATCTTTCAGCTTTTGCTTGTGTTCGGTTTGAAAATCAATTAATTTGCACACTTCTGGTGTTGATCGTTGTTGTTGAATTGAAATGATGGAGAAAAACGACGAACCAAAAAAAAAAAAAAATCATCATTTTTGAAAGCCACTTTTTTTCCCTTTTCACAATTGTTGTTTGAATTCCTGATCAATCAATCAATCAATCAATCNTCGCACCTATTATGAATCGAGAATCTCGATTCATTCAAATTCAAAAAGAAATGACCAGAAGAAAAAAAAAATTATCTTTCAGCTTTTGCTTGTGTTCGGTTTGAAAATCAATTAATTTGCACACTTCTGGTGTTGGTCGTTGTTGTTGAATTGAAATGATGGAGAAAAACGACGAACCAAAAAAAAAAAATCATCATTTTTGAAAGCCACTTTTTTTCACTTTTCACAATTGTTGTTTGAATTCCTGATCAATCAATCAATCAATCAATCAATCGATTTAATTTGATTTGATTCGATTAGCTTTTCTGCCTTTTTTGCTTCGTTCATCTTCGTTCTTATTGTGATCCATTATCATTATGGAATAAAAAATTTAAATGTTTCCATTCAACTTTAATCATTATTGATGATGATTATTGATTTTTTTTTCATACATTCGAAATTTGATGATGATTTTTTTACCTGATGCCTAGCAAAAAAAAAGTCAAAACCTTCGGGCAATGGTATTCATTCATTCATTCATTTTCACACAATAATGGTGGTGATTCACAATTTTTTTTAGTAAATTTAAATAAATCTCTCTTTCTCTCTCTCTCTCAATATTGGTGGTAAGGATTATTTTACCATTTTTTTTTGTTGTTCATTCATTGAAGACTTCCTTCATTCGGTTGTTGTCATTGTCGTCAGGGTTCATTAGCTGAAAGATTATTATGGAGATTTTTTTTTTTGCTTCTTCGTCTTCTACTGTTTCCACATGGAAAAACATTTTCTCCAAAAAAAAAAGAATGTTCAATGTAGCTAATTATGGTCCGAATAAAGATTCCTGCTGATTGACACATATATCACCGAATTTTTTTTCACAATTTCATTTTCGCTAAATGGTTATTTTGTAACGTTTATCACTTTTATGTTTAACATTTAACGTTTTTTAGCTTGACCAAATTGGTTAACAAAAAAAAATGATTGAAAAACAAAATTCTACATTTTTTTTGGATCAATCATCAGCTGTCGTCGTCGTCGGCAATCAGTAGAAGAAGAAATAAAATATCACTATTTCACTTCTTCATTCAAAGATTTTCCTATATGATAAATAAGTTTTATTTTTATTTTTTCACAGTTCCCAATGGATCGATTGATATTGGCAAAAAAAAAGAGAGAGAGATTTCAATTTGATTGATTGATTAGTTATCGAATGAAGAAAAAAAAAACAAAAAATTTGGGACCCAAATCAATCAAATTTACCTGCACAGGTAGGCAGAAAGAGAAAGAGAGAATTAAAGAATCTCTCTCTCTTTTTCATTGAAGAATTTCAAAAAGACCTACCACCAATATTACCTATTTAGCTATTCACAGGTAGTTAGTTAATTACGATAATCTTTGGCATTTTTCTTTTTTTTTCTTTCACAGGCATTGTATTTTTGAACATAATATTGTGTGTGTCTTCATGTCAATCAATGAAATGAAATGAATGAAAATAAAAGAAAATATGGATCATCATCATCATTATGGATTTAAATAAAAAAATATGCCTCGAAGCTAATCAATCAGTCATTTTTTTTGGCGAAAAGATTTATTTATTGTGTTTAAATGGCCCATTATATAATTATAATATGGTTCGTTTCATTTGAGGAAAAATTTTGAATGTTTCATTCAATCAGATTTAAATAATTTTTTTGTTGTTGTTGCTGAAAAGATTTTTCAGTTTTTGAATGGAAAAAATATCGATCATCATCATCTGTCATATTGAAATTCTTTCTTTCTTTCTTCAACAACAAACATAACTAATGGATCTATTTATCGGTTGATGAATCGAATGAAATTCATTTCTGGTTTCGTCGTTGTTTTAAACTTTTTTTTCGAAACTGAAACAAAAAAAAAATGAAATGGAATGCCAAAAATCGCTCATAACAAACAAACAAACTAAAAAAAGAAAGATTCATAAAAAAATGAAATAATGTTTATGATTTTCATCGATAAATACTGAAAAGAAAATTCCTTAATAGACATTGTTGATGTGAAAACAAATTTCTCACAAACAAACAAACACAAACACCAAAAGAAAATCATCCGTCTAATTCTCCAATGTTTCTATAGTGATTTTCATTTTCAGTGTTTATCGGGTCAAATTCTTGTTGTTGTTGTTGTTTTTTTCGTCTTCTTCATTTAACATTGAAAGATAGAAAAATTCTTTTGCAAAAAAAGAGGTAATCTAAATGTTGCTCGGTGTGAGAAAAAAGATGATGATGATGGAGATCATTATTATTATCATCATCATCATCATCATTCAATATTTAACTCTTTCGTTACAAATTTTGTTTGTTTGTTTGTTATCATCATTTATGATCAAAATGAAAAAGAAAAAGAAATTACCCATAATAATATTTGTTGACCGGTTTCGTATGACTTTTTTTTTCATATATTGAATGTTATCATTATAGCTAGCGAGATGTTTAATGTTTTTTTTTTTGGCTTCAAGTTCAATCAAAAAAAGGAGAATGAGTGAAAGCAAACTAAACGAAAAAAAAAATCTCACGAATATCCATCTTTCTCTCAATAATGTATCGGAGAAAATGTATAGAATATAGATAGCAAGAATGAACATCAACAACAACAACAAAAAAAAAACAAAACGACGCATCAACTTTCACATGAACATTCATTCAGTTGCTACCGGCTGTTTGTTTTTTTGATTTTGTAAATAGTTTTTTTTCATATATAAAAAAAAATTGTCGGAATTTATCGTTTAGACTTTTTTTTTTGCTATGGACGGTTCTTTCTTTCTTTCTTTCTTTCATTCATATCTGGCTGATTCAAACATCAAACATCATCATCATAATGTTTGATCAGATCAAGATGATGATGATGATGATGATAAGATTCATTATATAATAGCCAAAAATCAAAATTCATTGATCAAAAAAAAAAAAAAAAGAAAGAAATATCGTTGACAATCGATCGCGTTATCATCGTTATTTTGTTTATTTTGGCATTTCTGTTTTCTTTTTTTTTCTGTAGGAAGTCAGAAGTAAGCAAGCAAAAAAATATGTAATGAAATGAAATGAATCCGGATACAAATTATTGGATATATTTTATTTCATTGTTGTTTATCATTTGCCCTTTGACCTTTTTTCGTTTGTTTGTTTGTTTGGAATTTACTTTTGTTTTGTATATGTGCCAGTTAGCCAAACACAAAAACTAAACGTTGTTAAACATTCAAAAAAAACATCCAATCAGAAAAAATCAAAAACAAAAGAAAAAGTAAAAAACGAAAACGAAAACGAAACGAAAGTAAACAAACTGTTTCTGTATTTTTGGTGTTTTTGTTGTTATTTTTTTCGTTTTTGATAATGGCGCCCAACAAACAAAAATAAATTCTCGATTGTTGTCGTCATTTGTTTTTGGATTGTTCTGTTTTTCGTTTGTTCTGTTTGTTTGTTTGATATCCTCATCATTATCATCTGAAAATCTCTAAAAATCTGAATTTATGTAACAAAACAGAGAACAAAAATAAAAATCGAACGTATTTATTACGTTTTGATTTTTCGACTAACTTTGCTTGCTTGTTTTTTTAGTTTGTTTACCATGCACACACACACACACACACACACACACACACCAATTCCATTATTATCATCAAATTGATCATGATGATGAAATACACCAGCAAATATGTATTTTTTTTGTTGTTGGTTGGTTTAGGATGTCTGACTGCAAATAGAAAATATAAATGTAAATGGAAATAGAAAGAAAAAAAAATAATATCAATGTTGATGATAAATAGACTCCAAGGACTACATTTAGTTTAATGTGTTTAATGTATTGAAAATAACAAAATTTATAAATTTAGATTTTTTTTAATATTTATTTATAGCCATAAATTCTTTGCCAATGTGTTTGATCGAATATAAACGAATTGGCTACCGTATTTTTTTTTCTTCATTATAATTGACTGAAACAAACAAACAGAACAGAACAGAACAAAAAATAGCTAATAATCATTTTTGGTTAATTATTTTATTTTATTTTACAATTTCCTATGGAAAGGATTAATGTCACAGGTTTTTTTTTGGTTCATCATTATTTTATAACCTAGAACTTTGACTTTGACCAAATAAAAAATCCAAACCCCCAAAAAAAACTTGAAACCAAACCAAAAAAAAAGGAAAATTGTTGTTTGGAAATGTCTTGAATGAAACACTTGTTGCTGTTACTGTTTTTTTTTCTTTTAAAACAAATGTTCATTTTGGGTAATAAAAGCTTCACATTTTATTGAAATAAAAGAAAGATTGATTCATGAATTTATTTTCCAATGAAACGAAACGAAATTCCTCAATCAAAAAGATTGAGTGAACAGGAAAAAAACTTTCGATCATTTTCGGTTGATTTTTTTTTCTCCTTTTTCTTTTCTCTCAAAAATCGATAATGTGTTCGGTGTGTGTGTGTGTGTGTTAATCAATGGGCGATAATTATGTGATTTGCCTTGTGCCACTCATTCATTCATTCATTCATTTGTTCACTGTGTGTTTTGATTCTAATGACCAACGAGCCATGAACTTTTTTTTCTTCTTCTTCTTGTTGTTTTTCAGTTAACACTGCACAACACACATTTAACAAGCTTCTTAAAATTCTTGCATTTTTTTGCTGTGAAAAAAAATTTCTCCAATTTCTTTTTTTTACTTCAAAAAAAAAGTCTATTTGATTTTTATAGCCTCTCGATACGCGAAAATGAACGAACGAAGACTTTATGGCTTTTTGGCATGTTAAATTCTATCATTGAATGATGATGATCATTCTCAAATGATTAAATCAATGACGAAGACGACTAGTCCATTAGAGAATGAACCGAATTCGTTTGAATTTTTTTTTACAATCATCACCAACCACCATCATTAGAGATTGTCAATGTTTGGTTTGGTTAAGAGAAAAAAAAATCGATTATCTTGGAACATTAATAATAATCATCAGTTTTCCCATATAGACTTTCAACAACAAAAAAAATCATTATCGTTGTTGTTTTTTTTTTCATTATCACCACCATCACCACCCACCAACCGAATATCATGACGATTGATCGGTGTGACAATTGATTGATGGTAAATGTCACACAATTGACATTTGAGACAAAATAAAGACTTTTTTTTAATACTTTAAAAATTTTTTTATTTACAAATATTTCTTTCAACAGAAAATTTCAAATGTTTTTTGTTTGTTGGCTGAGAGCAAACGATGATGATCAGAATGATTCCAAAAAAATGTTTTATGCGGCAAAAATACTGAAAGAGAGGATGTGTTTTCGGTCTTTTTTTTTCTTGAAAATAATACTCATTAAAATTTTTTGCTCTCAAATTAGATTTAAATTAAAGAAAAAATAATAATAATTAACACAATAATTATATAATACAAGAATAATAATAATTGAAAAAGAATTATGTACAACAATAATTGAAAAAAACACAGAAAAATTATTTGACAACAAATTCAAAGATGATAAAATAATTGAATGGATTGAAAATCAATGATGATGATGATGATGACAAGTTTTTTTATACTGTCCTCAATTAAATGGATGATAAGCTCGTCTGTGGTGATTTAAATTGTTAAAACAATGGACAGTTTCAATGATTTTCGATGATTAATTGAAATCAATTTTTCCCGGGTTAAATAAAAATCTAAACTTCTGTCGCATGAAGTTTATTATTGATTTTTTGCTCTTTTTGTTGTTGATGATGATGATCACCATTCATATTGTTGTTATTGGTATAGATTGGTTGTGTATAAATATCATTATCATTATTATCTATCACATTATAAACAGATTTTGATCGGCCATAATGATTATGATTTATCATCGATGATGGTATTGTTGTTGTTAGAATATTATCATCCGATGAATTATAATTATTGGCTACAATAAGAAAATCACTGTTAAAAATATATGAAAAAAATACGATTACAAATTAACAAATTATTAATCAATAAATCAGGTTTAATTTGACAAAAATTGAATCAACACATTGATTTTAAACATACCTTTTATATAGATCAAGATTAGATTGTTTTTTCATCGAATATTGATCCAAATATAATTGTTGTTGTTGATCAACAGTAGTAAGATTATTTGCTAATAAATTGCATTTTGATTTATATTGTTTTAACGGTTGTTGATGTTGATGTTGATGAATTTGTTCATATGTATGCATATATGGATCATCAATAGTGGTAGATATTTTCTGTTCACTAATATTGTTGTTGTTGTTATTGTTGATCATTATCATTTTATCTTTCATTGTATTATTATTATTTAGATTCATTGCTCGAAAACCATTATGTAATGTAGCACATTTATTATGTTGTTGATAGAATTGATGATGATGATGATCATTACCACCGGTGATTACATATTCATTTGTAACTTTATGACATTTATTCAATTGATGTATTGATGCTGGACGATTTAAACTGTTGACAATAATATTTGCATTCGGTGTTTGACGATTTAGATCCAAATATTTATTATTATTATTATTATTCATACTATTCATAATAGCATTATGTTCATTTTGTCGACGTGCATCAGCTTCATCACGACGACGTTTCATTTTCAATGCATAATTACGTAATCGTTTAAATATAATAATTCCAATGATTATAAATATAATAGCCAACAATATGATTAATGATGAATAAATAATTGTAATCATTGAAATTTGATTCGTTGATGATGATAATTTAATTAAATTATTATTATTATTATCATTTTTATCACTATTTTCCGCCCAAAATGGTAATGATAAATTGGCTAGCAAAAAATTTGTTGCTGTTGTTGTAGGTGTAGTTGTTGAATTGAAAAATTCACAACGATTACCATGATAATTTGGACGACATTGACATTCAAAACTATTGATACGATCATGACATATACCACCATTAAAACATGGTGATCCTGCACAATCATCAATATTGTTGGAACAATCTTTACCGGTAAATCCGGATGGACATATACAAAGATAATCATTATTACGATCAACACAAGTAGCACCATTTTGGCAAGGTTTCATCATTGAACATTCATCAATATTCACTTCACAAAGTTCACCAACAAAACCTGGTGGACAACGACAACGAAATGCATTGATTTCATCTAAACAACTACCACTATTTAAACATGGATTTGATTCACAATCATTAATATTGATTTCACAATGATCACCAGTAAAACCGGCATGACATTTACAACTATATGTTTCATCAGTTGTATTCATCGAACATGATCCACCTGTTGATCCATATAAAAAAATAAACACGCAAAAAATTATGATTAAATTCAAAATTAATATCAAGAAATGAATGAATAAAACAAAAAATTTTAAGAAAAAACAAAAAACCTACCATGACAAGGATTTGGTGAACATCCTTTTTGCCGAATTTGACATCGTGATCCAGAATAACCAAGCTTACAGGCACATAAATAACCGATTGGTCTATCAATACAGATACCATCATTTTCACATGAATCTTCTGAACAAACACTTAATGATTGTTCACAATGACGACCACCAAAACCAATTGAACATTCACAAGTATAATTTGTTATGGCATTATTCTATGATTGAGAAATGAAGAAACAAAAAGACATTATTTATCGGAAATCCGTAAAAATATTGATTTTTTTTGCAGAATCAAATTCAATCAATAAACCAAGCGGTTATCATTGGCAAATATCATCAGATAATCGATTATCGATTGTCAGACAATGACTTTCACTATTTTTCTTTTCTCATTATCGATAAAAAAACAAAAAACAGACCAGGATCCTATTATTATTATTATTATTATTATTATTATTACTATTATTATTCGATAACTTATCTTAATTATTTTTACGTAATTATTATCATTATCAAAATGGAAAAAAAAACTTCGACCATTCTCATCATGATTATTTTTTTCCCTGGAAAAAATATAATTTTTTTTTTTAGTTTTGAAAAAAAGGTGTTTGGTTCTTTATCACTATCTATCTTTAGGTAACTAACTTATTTTTTAGAAAAAAAAGAAAAAACTAACGAAAACCATCTGTGATCATGGAGAAAAAAGTCTATGTATTGTATGGTGTCTGAGATAGGAAAAAAAAATAAAAATCTGTTAACGAGTAACATATGGAGAAAAACAAGACCGAAAAAAATACGTTGCATTTGTATTGCTTGCATCTTGGAATTATTATTATTATTATTTGCCCAAATATTATATGGACCATATGGACCATATTAAGAAATGAAAATAGGTAATAAAAACAAAAAATACATGATAATATTCTTGTTTATTTGTTTGATTTGCTTACCTTACATGTACCACCATTTTTACATGGTGAATGTTCACAGCTATCCAATTCTTTTTCACAATATTTGCCCATATATCCGGGTGGACATTGACATGTAAATGATTCACCAGTATTTGTACAAAGTCCACCATTTTTACATGGTTGATTATTTGTACAATAGTTTAGATCTAGAATGTTGATAGTGACAAAACATATGTAAAAAATGAAATAATTAAGAATTTAGATTGATAGGAAAAAAAGGATTATTATATAAAAACGACAGAAACATACCTTTATCGCAAAATAGACCACCCCAACCTTCTTTACAAATACATTCTAATGGTGCAATACAATAACCATGTTTACAATTTGGATATTGTTGACATTGTTGACAATCATCACCAGTCCAACCTAAACGACATTTACATTTACCTGGTTGCATACAAGAACCATTTGTTTCATTACATGATCGACATATTGCTATTTTTTTAAAAAATTTGGATTGATTGGATAAAAAAACAAAACAAAACAAAAAATTAAAATCGATTAAAAATTATGCTTATTCATCATCATAAGATGATTATCTCAGAAAAGAAATGAAAAAAAACTATCATCTTTTCAGTAAAGAATTCAAAAGAAGCAAAAGAAAAAAAGTAATTTGTTCCACTTGATGAACAATTAAACCACCACCATCATTGACTGAGAAAAAAAAACCTGATCATCCTAAAGATGATGATAATGATGGCTATGAACTTTGTCCTATGAAGAAGAAGAAATTAATTTCATTCCATTCTTCAAACTAATTGGTTTTCCTAACTAAATCTCAGTCTCTCTCTCTCTCTTTTTAAATCTTTTTTCGTGAAAATGAATGACGGGAAAAGAAAAAAAAGATTGTCAAAGAAGAAAACTAAAGAATTTAGTTTTGTTAGTTTTGAAATTGGCCTGAATGTTTAAAAAAACAGGCCAAAAACGAATAAATAAATATCGGCTATCAACATAACGACGACCACGACAACGACCACCACCATCATCATCATCATCAACACGGGATATCCGGTTGTCATCTGAGCTGTTTGTTACATAAGGCAATATATTGAATATCGAATACACTCAATATACAAAAAAAAGACTCTCAAGGAATGTATGTGTGTTTACAAGCGATAATAAGTGATTTTGAACATAAACAGAAAAATTCATCAATATGAAAATCATACATGCATCCTTAGATCAATATTTACAACAACAACAAAAAATTGTTGTTGGCCTCATTTTCATATGAAATTCTCTAATAAAAATCTTTATCTTGAAGAATCCAGAAAAAACAAAATATTTTTTTTCAAAAAACAAAAACTTACGTTTATTACAATATTCATCAGTCCAACCTTGATGACAAATTTTTTCACCATTCGAACCACAATTATAATGGCCAAAATCATCATTACGTGGTGTACATTTGATTGTACAAAAATTTCCATAATAATTATCATTACATTGTATACGATATGAATATTGTAATAATGTATGATTAATACGTGTTTCATGATAAGTCCATTCATTATTGGCTGCCAATTTATTACGTCGTGATTCAAATGATCTAATTATTAGATTTGGTGTTGTCGATGAATGATAATGATGATCTATATTTATAAATAGAACAAAAAATCATTGATTAGAAATTGTGATTATCAATTCAATTTGTGCGTGTGAGTTTTGCGCTTTGTTGTTTTTCAATTTGTTTCCGATCTATAACAATAACAACAACAACATCCGATTCGGAATCGTAATTTAAAGAAAGGAAAAACCAATTTAAATTCATCAAAAACCTAGTCCAAATCTTATGATGATTACGAAATTACTTTCACTATATATAGTAAAAGTTAAATATACCTATGATGATGATGAAGAATTCATTCAATGAAATAAATAATGTGAACAAGAACCTATTGATTAACTCTTAGGTAAAAATTCATTCATTCATTCATTCAACTGGCAAACATGACAACGACGACATTGGCCAACCATTATCAATGGCGACAATCTTTCCTTTAACAACAATAACAACAACGAAAAAAAAGGTCATAGGTGATATTAATGTTCTTCTTTTCTCTCCCGTGATCGTTATATAAGTAGAAAATATACTACCGTCTTTAAGGAATATATTTTTATTCTTCTTTCATCATCATCATCATCATCATCATCTTTATTTATTTTTTTGTCAATCGAGGAACTACGCTTGACCGGCATTTCGTTCCTCTTTTTCTTACTTTCACATTCACTTATTTCACTATAAATGTGGACAATTTTCAATCATTGATCAACATAGTAATTATTAAGTATGATGATGATTATTATTACAAGTCTGAAACGAAACTAGAAAGAATTCTTCAAGAAACCAGATTATTCAGTGACAAAATAAAATTGGCCATATACAAACACATACACACAGGTGCCACTGACTTACACATTGAATTCAATGAATGAAAATTGAATGATGCACGCGAACAATTTTCATCTTTATAAGAGAAAAAAAATGAAATTTTTTAATGATAATTTTGAAAAGAATGAAAAAAAATTGAAAGTGATGTTCATTCATTCAATGATTATAATTTCACTTGTCATTTTTGTTTTCAATTTGACAAAAAACTTCTTTAAAATCTCATTATTTCAACAATGATGATGATTTTTATTTTTCTTGAAGAAAAAAAAATTATCAACGGAAACGATTCAAACACAGTCTACACTAGATCTAGTTTTCTTATCATTTTTGGTTTTCGATTCGCGTTCAGGAAATAAGTGTGAACAAAAAAAAAAGGAGTGCAGCTTACTTACTTAAATAAAACTACACTAAATAAGCAAGAAAGTAACTCGATCCTGTGTGTGTAAATCATATTGACCGTCAAATTTTGGATTTTCAATAAAGAGAAAGAGAGTGTACGATACTTTTACAAATACAATTGTATGAGAGATGTGCATTTTGGTAATTTCAAGATTTTCTCACGGTCCAAAGTTTCACAATATATATAGTAGACAACTATAGTATTGTGATGGTTTCTTTTATACGAATACAACACGCACAGCACACTATAGTTGTCACCCAAAGAAAGATTGTTGTTGTTGTTGTTGTTCCCTTTTTCATATTTATGGAACAAGTTTTTTTTGTTTTAAATTTTGTGCTTGGTTCTAAGATTGTTTCTAAGAGCAAAGAATAATAAAATCCTAGAAAACCAAAGCTAAGATGATCAAATAATCATCATTGATTGATAGACCCGGGAAATTGAATCGGGTTCACAATCAAGCAAAGCAAGTAAAAAAACAACAACAACAAGGTCTTTGAACGTAAATTAAATGAACGAAATGTCTTGGTAACAGTCAGGAAAAAAACAACTGTTGCCTATTTCTTCTTCATCATCATCATCTTATGTTTGTTGTTCATGGGTAAAAATTATTATGATTTTTTATTTTATTGAGAAAAAACTGAAACCCAGTCAATAAGTAAAGTAAGTAAAACTTGCCAGATGGCAATGGGCCCATAGACCATATAAAAGTAGAGTAAAGCAATGAAAATAAAAAAATCAACAGCTGGTCATCAGAATAGAATCAATCACACACACAAGATAGGTATTAAAGAAACTTATAAAACAGTTGATCAGCAGCAGTAACAGCCGCTAAGAAAAAAAATTAGATCCATGATCATCATCATCATATGTCGAAGGCGATTTAAGGTTATGAAACATTTATACCAAACCCAAAACCCGAATTTAAAAAAACCTGGCTTATCCTATTGAACAGGATGGTTGGTACCTTTTTTTTCACTCAAGACATCCTATGTATTCCTTTCTCTCTCTTTCCAAAAATCTTAGATGGTGAAAAAAAATTGGACCAGAAAAAGGAAATCCATCTGTATTCATATATTAGTACCATATGTGTGTGTGCTCAAGTCTTTTTTTCTAATAATTTCTTTCAAGTTTTCATTTTATTGTCATCAAAAACTACTTTTTCTCATAAAAACTAGGACCAGGTTTTTTTCAGTTTCTATGTATTGGACCTTGTTGTTGTTGGTTACTGTGAGAATCAAATAATCAACCAAACAACAAATGAAAAACACCTGCTCAACATCATCATCATCTATTGACCATTTTGAACATACATCGATCTGATAGGATGGGATAGGTTGTTGTTGTTGCTGTTCTAGTTGTTGTGTGTTTGTAAAATATTGAATGAAAGGAAAGGAAATGAAACGTAACAAACAAAACAAAACAAAAAAAATTGGTCCCAGCCATAGACTTAAAGCTTGTTAGTCAGTGGTTTTTTTTCGAAATTGATTTGAACAGGTTGACAACCTTTTATTGAATATGTTTTTGTTGTTTTGTTTCATTGAATCATATTAACCATTTCATCTTATTTCAATTTTTTTTCTTTGAGATTTCAACCTGCTTTTGAGAAAGCAAAAAATAAAAACTTTAAACAAACTACACACATATGGTGGTGACAATAGCAAGACAAGGTGAATTTCTTTTTTTATATTTTAAAAAACTAGAAACGGCTGGTCATGTAAAGAACATAGGAAAACAACATAGGTGAAAGGTAAGATGATGATTGGCCTTAGGGCAGTTTCCCACACACACAACCAACAACAACAAACTAGCCATAGATGATGGTGATGATGATTAATAAAAAACAAAAGGTGAAAGAAACAAATGGTATAACCTTGATAAAGATATAGGCTAAAAGATTTTGGTAAAATCGATCGATCGATCAATTGATTGAAATCTAGCTTTTGGGTAACAGAGAAAAGATGTCTTCTTCATCTTTTTTGGTTTCTCAAGAAAAAAAAATTGAGCAGCTGAAACAAAAAAATCAAGATCATCATCATCAGCTGGTCATCATTGTAGGTTTTGGATTTTTAAATCTGGTGTATGCATGTGTGTGTGTGACATGAAAATTATAATTCAAATTTAAAGAATATTTACAAAAAACAAAAAACAAACTTACGTTGATCGGCAGCTGCTGATGATGGTGGTGGTGATTGTTTTTCATCAATCAACAAATGATGATGATGATGATTTTGGCTAACATTATTCCATACTTCAACTATCAATGAAAATGTACCCTTTAAAGAAAATTAATTAGAAAAATTGGATTAAAATTTTTGTTTATTATTTTATAATTTTTGAATTACTTACAGGCCATGTAAAATTGAATGGAAATTGTATGGTATAATTATAATATGAATTAAGATGTTGAAAATTATTATTATTATTATTATTATGATGATGATGATGAGAATAATGTTGATGATGACTATCACTTGTTATTGATGATGATGATGATGATATTGGTGAAAGAACTGGTGTAGTTTTTTCTCCATAAACACAATCAGAATTTGTGTCAATTTTTGCTTGATAATTTTTAAAACAAAAACGAAAAAATGTTTGACATTTTTGTTCACAAATTGTTGTCGTTGTTGTTGATTTATTATTATGGTCAACAACACCATTATTATTATTATTATTAAGTCCAGCCGAATGAACATCAGAACAACAACGACCGGATGCATCACGATTATATTCATTGACAAATCTGTCAAGTCGTAATTGAAAAATTCCTAAACAAGATACCTGTATATTGTGTAAAAATGAATGAATGTAGTCAACACCATTGGTAAATAACAAGTGTGATTGATTTTTTTTTATTTTTTGGATGTTTATTTGGTGGATATGGTGAAAATTTGTGAAAATGAAATAATAAAAAAATTATTAGCAAACATGACCAAAGCAAAAAAATCAATCATCGATTCCGTGGGTGTTTCGTTTTTTTGAAAAAAAATTTCATGATTAAGTGTGAATAATTTACTATGTGGAAATGTGGAAATTGTTTTTGTTTGTTAATGATAATCATTGATGATCAATCAACCAGAAAAACGTGAAAAAAAACTTTTTTGCAACAAAACAAAAAAAATCTCATCCGGTCATCAACTAATTGATTTGTTGTATTTGTTGTTGAATTATTTACTTCCGATCAATTTACCAATTTCGATTATTTCATCATCCAGGTAAAAAAAAATGGTAAAAAGGAATTTCTCCTTATCATGCATTTTTTTCATTAATTTCAGATAATTTTTAATGAATGATTTTTTTTGGGAAAAAAACTCTTTACTCTCTTTTTTTTTTAAAAATTGTTTCTGATTCACACAGCAATAAGATGTTAATCTTTAACATATTTTTGTCGTCAATATAGATTCCTTGTTGTTTTTGCCATAAATTCATTTCTTCTTCTTTTTTAATTTCAGTGGTGGTCATCGTCATCATTCGTCACATACATTCATTCATTCATTCATTCATTCCGGCATCTTTTTATGTATATTTTTTTTCTCGTTCTTCTTGTTATTATTATTGGTTTCCCACGATCGTTAAAAAGAAAAATGTTAAATTTTGTGTGTATTTTTTCAAGATTAACTAAAGGAATGATAAGTTTATATCGCTGTGTGTGTGTGTTTGTTTGTTTGGTCACTCACTCACTCTCTTATCACACTTGGACAAATTCTTTGAACACAAAGAATTCCAAGGTTAAACAAGTGAAGGAAATCGATTGATGATTGATTTTTTTTTGTTACTTTAAAAAAAATTTCAACTTACATTAGATATAAAGGCAATTTGATATATTAATAAAATAATGATCAATATTAAATGATTTATATTCATTAGATGATGATAATTATAATGATGATGATGATGATTAGATTTATTAATTAATAATCGTGATGATTTTGGCCTTTTTGTTACCATTTTATTCATCACAATATTATTATCATTAATCGTTCTACTGGATAATAATAATTTTAAACAATTCATTATTGTTGTTCTTTTTGGTAGTGGTGAGGATTTTTGTTGATGATGATCAACATCATTGATCAATGATAATGATGATGATGATGAAGACCTATGATGTATTGATGATGGTGATCGATGTTTTTGCTGATAATCATTATCCATAATGATCAGCATTTGACCATCATCATCATGTAAACAATTATCGAATAATGGATTATCATCCATTCTTATTTCCATCAGATCAATCGGTTTTTTTTTGTCCGAAAAAAACAATTTTAGGAATGTGATCAAAGATAATGGTGATGGTAATGATGAAAAATACACCATACACACACAAACACACTTTCAACGTGGAAAACGAATCACTTTTTTTCTGTTTGATTTGTTAAGATTTTCATTTATAAAATCAAAAGAATTTGATGGTTGTCAATGATGATGGTGTGGTTGTATGGATAACAAAAAAAAAAACAATCAAAACATAGAGACATGCACTAAATACACACAATTATCAGCAATAACAACAACAAAAACCACTGATAATAATCGATGATGATGATGATGTTGTCATTGACAATATTTTTGATGATAAATTATCCATCGATTGCGATCATTTTGCGTGGATTAGGTCGAATGATAATCAATCAATCAATGACGGCGATCGATCAATATTTAATCGAAAATTATGGACCAATTGTTGTTATCGTTGAAATTGAAATCGGGTGATGACACAAACATTTGAAACACATATATTATTGATTAAAAACACAAAGAATACAGGCAAACAAACAAAACAACAAACGATAAGGTCTTATACGGATGAACAATGTCCAAACACTGATTTTTTTTTCGATGTTGTTGAATAGGAATTATCATCATCATCGATCGACTAACAAAACACAAATGCCAGTAGCTGTTGCATTTTCTCTATTCTCTCTCTCTCTCTCTCACTCTTCTTGTTTCTTTTCTAATTTTTTTTTCGTCTGAATTTCCTACCTTTTACAAATGCTACTACTACATTCATATTCTGTTTGATGGATCTTCTTTAATATCTTGCTTCTACTTTTTTTTTCGTTATTAATTCGAATGTACAATGTGTGCATGTTCAGGTAAGGGGCTGGTCTTATTCGAGGTGACGATGGAACCTAACAAATGAACAAAAAAACACCTGAAAACACAATACCAGATAAAGGGGATGTACATTTTTTTGTTTTGTTTTAAAATTTTAAAATTTAAAAAATTCATAGAATTAAGAATAACATCTTTGAATAGAATTTCTGGAACGTAAAAATAAATAAATTTTTTGAATTAAAATTCATTTGGAGGAAACAATATCAAAGAAAGAATGAAAATAACAGATTTGATTTGAAACCTAAAATAAAAACATCACCAAAATAAACAAAAACAGAAGAAAAAAAATAATTATTCTATTGTCTTTTTGTTTGTTCATTGGTGGTAGGTTTAATGATCACAAAAAACATTTTATGAAAAAAGAAAAAAAAGAAGCATCTTTGGTCATTGTCATCATCATTCTTTCACATAAGATTTTTTTTTCAAGTTAAAATTATTAAGATTCTTATCGTGAAATGAAATGAATAAGAAATTCTTCTTTTAAACAAAACGAAAAAAAAAGAATGATATTATCTGATGAATGTTTTTTTTTTGGGGAAGGGGAAATAAAAGTCAAATTTCACACACACAAACAAACAAACAAAAAAAACAATTATCATTTCAAATTATGAAGATAAACAAAAAAAGAAAGAATGTGATGCGAATTAAGATTTTTTTGTTTTTGTTTTTTCGGTAAGCAATTATCATCATCGTTATCATCATCATCATTACCGAAAACGTTCGAATCTTCGAATGGATAAAGAGAAACGTTCGAATTCCCGTCCACAAACGACGTTCGGATCATTTTGAAGAAAAAAAAAGTGAATTCAAACACACCTTATTTGCTCGAAATTTCCTTTTTTCTTTTCCAAAACAAAAAAAAACCAAAGAAATCGAATTATCGTCTTCCTTTTTTTTTCATTTTCGTTTTTCTCTACGACAATTCAATCATTGATGCCTGTGTTTTTTTGTTGATTGGTTTCCTTATTATTTTGTTTTGTGTTTTGTTTCGTTTTGTTTCACATTTTACAACTTTTTTTTCAAGAAAAAAAAGGCCTTATGGTCTTTCACCATTGATTCATTTCATTTCATTCAATCATCGTCATTTCCTGTGTTTTTTACTTACTTAAACCAGAAAAAAACGACTACGACAAAGATGAATCAAAACAACAACAATCACCTTATGTTCACTCAATGTATTTCCTATGTGGACCATATGTGTATGTGTGATACGATGATTTACTTCTTGTGGGGAGGGGGGGACAAAAGACGATGAAAATCAAAATTGAGGAAAAGAAAATCGGTACTTTATTTGATTTTCTTATATTTTTTTTGGGGGGGTTCTTTCCTTTCACACAGAGAGAAAAAAGAAAGACACGGAAAACATGGCTCAAGGACCCAAGGTTTGTTTCTTTCTTTCTTTCAAGAAAAAGATGATGATAATATACAGCCGACAAACAGCTGCTGCTGGCCCTTATGGTACTTTTTTTTTGCTCTGTACAGACGGCTACGACGATGATGATGATGATTTGAGAAAGTCCTATTGTCACACCTGTCGACTATTTTGACTTCTTTTTTTTCTGGAAAAAAATATTGATCAATTTTTTCCGATGATGATGGTAGTGGTGGTGACAGTTTTATACGATGCTTAGTTATCTTTTTTTTTCTAAATATTCTCCTCTGCATCATCCTCATCATCATTATCTTTTATCCGGCTTTTTTTCTTGCCACATTTAAAAAAAAAATGTGAACTGGACTGACGTCGACGACGATGGTGATGATGATGATTATGATAATGATAATGAGAAGAAATGAGATGACGATGAAGACCAAGAACGCACCATATGGTCGAGAAAGGAAAAAAACCGTTTTTTATTTTGATTCACGAATTCAGCAAGCTGTTTTACGCTAGTTATATTTTTTAAAAAAAGAAAGAAAATAAGATGATCATCTTATTCTCCTCTCCGCTTTCTTTCTCTCTTGCATTTTGATAATCAAGATTTCTTAACAGATTTCCTTCGTCGTCGTCGTCGTCGTCGTAGTTTTTCAATTGACAAAATTTTGAAAAAAAACGAACTAACGGATCTGGACTTTCATTCATTCAAAAGATAGAAAAAAAGATTTGAACATTTAAAATATAAATGTTTTTTTCTTCTTCTTCTTCTGTCTATTTTATTCAACAAAGAAAAAAAACAAACCAAATGTCTTGTCTTGTCTACATTACATTATCATCATCATCATTCGACTCGTAGTAGTCGTAGTCATCTTAAAATATATGAGGATTCCCTTATTATGACTTTTTCAACCAAACCCCCCCATTCCTCCCAAAAATCCCGATGATCCAAATCAACCCAAACTAAAGACATATATGTAGATAGACACTGAAAACACTGTGAAACAGACAAACAAACACGAACAGAAAGATAGGCAATGAATTTTGTATTTTATGTTATGATGAATAATGATAATTGTTGCGCGTGTTATCTATATCATAAGCACATGTGTTTTTTGTTTTTTTTTATATTCAATGTTCCGGATGTAATTTTTTTTTTATATTCAAAGCTTGCGTAGTATACTATAGATATATCTATAGAAATAAATGTTTTTTTTTTAAATTTGCTTGGCCAACAAAAAAAGAAATGACATCTTTTTTTCTGTTGGTTAGTTTGAATTCTTTAATCTTCGACAAATTCTTTTTCGATGATTATTTTTAGCTAAAAACAAAAAAAAAAATCTTTTCATCGTTCATATCATCACCATATCATTCATTCATTCATTCATTCAATCACCAGAATCTTTAATATTTTGATGAAATTTTTCTTTCTTTCTTTTATTTCGTATTGAAAGCGATAATTGTTTTTTTTTAAACAAAGCGATTGATGTTTGTTTGAATTAAATCATCAAAACAAACAAGGACAAGTTGACAAATCTTGTTTGTTTTGTTTTTTAATCTCTCTTTTTTTTACTTTACTTTTTTTGGTTGGATTTCCAAAAAAAGAAAAATCATGATCCGAAAAATGTCCAAGAAACAAGATGAGATGAATGAACTTTTGATCCAAACCACCCACCCTCACCCAACCATCATTAAATGGCCACGTGCCTGATTTCATTTTTTTCTTAGAATGAAATTCGTGTTTCTTTTTCTAAAGAAAAACAACACACGTTTTTTTAAGGAAATTATCATCTATACTTACCACGTATTTCCCTCTCTCTCTCTCTCGATCTCTTTTCTCCCCTATCATAAATAGGCACAATCTGTTCAAACATCATCTATTTTTTCTTCGTGTTTTTTAAGCTTAAAAACCAAGCAACCAAGCTAAAGAAAACCAGCAAAAAAACGAAACCAGCAGCTGCTGCTCTGAATAATAATAATAATAAAAAAGTCCCGGCGGCCAAGAAAAACCAACCAAAAAAACAGTCAAAGCAAAGATCTTTTGTCAAATGTCATCATCGTCGTCATAAAGGTTGACATACGGTGTCTGCTTTGGTTGTCCGGGGTTTTTTGCCAATTTTCTTTAGATTTGTTTTTTCTTCTTCNAATGTTAGTGAATGAAAGAAAAAAAAAAAGATCTTCTTATAAGTTGAAGAAAGGTAAAAGGTCAAAATCTGTTTTGTTTTTTTTTTTTTTTTTGGAAACAAACACGTAACCAGCGCAAAGAAGAAAAAAAAAATTTTTGAATGAAAATCAAATGAACCCGAACCGAAAGACATCTGTTGTTGTTGTTGTTGTTTGTTTGTATCAACGTAACATTTTAACGTAAATGAAGAGTGAAATAAAAAAATTTTGGATGA